ATCAACATAATCGATCTAACGGTGAAATTGATTGGTAGTAACATTGGTAGTAACACTGATTGGTTGTTACAATATCCTACCCCATATATATATATATATATATATATATATATATATAATTTATTTTTCAAAAGATATTTCATATTAATACAATCAATCTTATACATTGACCCTACAAAAAAAAAGTCTCACTCTTTAACCATACGAACTTAATGCTAGCATGGAGCAAACATGTCGAACTCCTGTACGTTTGTAATCAAGGGCTTAAAGTGTCATACATTTATCTAGGGTTGGCAAAAACGAGGGTTGGCTGTAACTCGTCAAAAATGAGTCGGGTTGGGTTGGCAAAAATGCTGCCAACCCGAGCCAGCTCGTGAAAAATGAGCCAACCCGCGGGTCAAACGAGCCAGCTCGCGGGTTGAGTTTTTTTTTTAATAAAAATATACAAAATATAATATACAAAAATGGACAAAACCCACACATGTTGTCATCATTTTTCTTCATTCTCTAAACCTAATTCCCTAATCTTCTCACATCCCTGCCATTTTTATATTGTTAGGCTGTGCTGACTCTGTTTGGTTCAAATATCTTACCCACTTGGTAGCAAGTGGTTATGATTATTTCTCGATGTTGATGCAGATTTGTTGTGAAGAAAATTCGAAACTAAAAAATTTTGCTTTTATTTCTCATTTTGTAACCCTTTGTTTAAGCTGATGGAAGCCACATAGCTAGTGCATTAATACCACTGGGTCTGGTTGGGATGGGTTTTCTGGCTCTTTTTTTTTTTTGAGCCAACCCTAACCCGGCTCATTTTTTCGGGTTGAATGCGGGTTGGGTCGGGCCGGACCGGGTTGACCCGTTTTGCCAACCCTATGTTTATCATAAGCGACTTCTACATTGATACCAAGTCCCTTATGGTCAATGTACAAAACTTAAATAGTCAATGTACAAGACTTCCACGTTGATATTAAATCCCGCATGGTGACGTATGAGATATGTCCTGTATAATCTTTTAAAATATTATATATATGTATATATAAGGTCATGATCATTTTACATCGGCATAAATTACAGGGTTATTAGATGCGAGCAAATCAATGATCAGATTTAGTATAAGACTTTTTATTCTTACACCAGTATAAGAATATCCTGCTCCATATATATATATATATATATTTCAATCATGTGCATCGAAATAAGATTGAATAGAAGGGGACCACTGTTTTCCCATCTATTTTTTGCAGATGATCTTCTGCTCTTTACAGAAGCCACAGAAGGACAAGCTGTTATTATTAATAAGATTCTTGATTGTTTTTGCAAGTGCTCTGGTGAGAAGGTTAGCAAGGAAAAAACAAAATTCTTCTTCTCCAGAAACGTTAATCATACCCGAGTGCAGAATCTAAGCCAGTTAATGGGCTACTCTCCTACAAATGACTTGGGTAAATACTTGGGTATTCCTCTTCATCATAGCCGTGTTACAAAGAGTATGTTTGGCTATATCTTAAATCGGATGCAAGCTCGTTTAAATGCCTGGAATCAACATACTCTTTCATTGGCAGGAAGATCAACTTTGGCTAGGTCAGTTCTTACTGCAATTCCTCATTATCTTATGCAAACTTGTATTATTCCTAGTGGTACGTGTAATCGTATTGAGAGTGTAACTAGGAATTTCATTTGGGGATCAACTTCTGAACGAAGGAAAGCTCACCTGGTTTCTTGGGAGACAATGTTTGCCGAAGAATGTAGGGGGGCTTGGTTTTCGTAAAATTAAAGAGAATAATATGGCTTTTATCATGAATCTAGGTCACCGTATCATGACTGATCGTAATTTGTTATGGGTTCGGGTCCTTCGTAGCAAGTATAAGGTGGAGAAGCGGCTCATTCCAAGTATCTCGGCTTCAACAAATGATTCTGGTTTATGGAAAGCTATTGTTTAGTATTGGCCTCAAACTCTAGAGAATTCTCGTATCATTTTAGGGGATGGGGTTCATATGTCTTTTTGGATGGATTCGTGGGTTCCAGGATGTCCTAAACTTGTTTCTCTGGCCATTCAACCTATTCATCCTATTATGACTCATTGGTCTCGTCTCAATTTGTAACTTGTTATGGTAATTGGGACTAGCCTTTATTCTAGCACCTTCTTCCTACTCCAGTATTAGACAAGATTCGTAGTGTGATCTCTCCTACAGTGGATCCTTCTCCGGACCGTGTTATTTGGGCAGGTAGCCAAGATGGGGTTTTTTTTCAATGAAATCAGCTTATAATTATCTCATGGGTACCTCGCATTATCATCAGGATAGGATTTGGAAGGTAATCTGGGCTTGGCCTGGTCTTGAACGTATTAGACAATTCTTATGGCTTCTCTACAAAGGTTCTCTTTTAACTAATGTTTGTAGAGTGCATCGTCACATGGCTACAGATGCAGCGTGTCTGAGATGTCATTATAATCTTGAGGATAGTTTACATGCCATTAGAGATTGTCCTGGTGCCAGGGAATTATAGGAGCATTGGGTTCCTTCTGATAACCGTAGTGACTTTTTCTCCATGGATCTTCACCTATGGATTCAGACAAATCTAGCATTAAAAGATCCGTTTCAAACTGATCGAACTTGGCCTTTGTATTTTGGGGTGATATCTTGGTGTTTGTGGGGGGAAATAAATAAGACGATCTTTGATCAAACTAGCACCTCGAAGTATGGTCTCATTAGACGCATTACCTACACTTGCGGTAATATTCAATTGGCTAATGAAACCCTTATTAAAATTGGTCATCTGGAATTTTCCCTCTGAGGGTTATGTTAAACTTAATGTGGATGGTTCCAGCATAGACAGTGGGCAAAGGACTGCATGTGGTGGAGTCATAAGGGATGCTGCTGGGAACTGGTTAACTGGTTTTACAAAATTCCTTGGGAGTGGTACTTCTACTTCAGCGAAAATTTGGGAGTTCTTGACAGGTGTGGATCTGGCTTGGCATAAGGGATTTAGGAGAGTCTTTGTGGAGGGTGACTCCAAGGTGGCTTTGGAATTTATAAGAAAAGGGTGTAACGTAAGTCATCTTCTTTCTGCTTTAATCATCAGAGCTCGTAGCATACTTCAAAGAGACTGGATTATTCAGCTTAGTCATACTTATAGAGAAGGCAATTTTGTTGCTGATTGGCTTGCTACTCATGCACCTCATCAGGATGGACAGCTGATTGTGCTGGATGTCCCTCCAACGACTTGTTTGGAATTGCTTCGTAATGACTTGAGGGGAGTTAGTCTCCTAAGATTGTGCCCAGTATAGAGCTTTTTTTGATGTTGCTTTAGTTTTCATTGTATTTCCAAAAAAAATGAAGATTTAGATAATAATGTCTCAATATAACAAAATAAAATAAAATTAACAAACATTAAAAAATATTCTTCTATATATATTACTCGGTTTAATTTTTCTTTTTCATTACATCGTCCTTAGAACATTTTAAGAAGTTACTATGATACTTAATATTTATTAATTATTAGCTTTTACAAAAAAATATACAATCTAACAAATCAAATAATTATTTTATCATTCATCAATATATCAATACTATATAAAAAAAATTATGAGCATCCAAATTAGGGGTGTTCATCAACCGAACCAAATCGATTCAAACCCCGGTAACCGAACCGAAAAATCGATAACCAAATAAACCGAAAATCGAAAAACCGAAAAAAAAATCGCAAATTTTAATTGGATTGGATCGGTTTTCGGATTGATTGATGAAATCCGATCGAATCTAAATCGATCCAATATATTAATTCTCCTATACCTACTTGGGCCTTTTTCCAATCATATCCCAAGAATTTCTAAACTCAAAGACTCATTAACCCATCAACTAAACTCAAGAAAAAATCCAGTCACATCTCACCAACAAAGTTTTATCTGTGTAGAGCTTCATATTTAATTGTCAAAAAAATTATATATATATTATTGTTAACTAATGCTTTTGTATTTCAAAAGAAAAATATTTACAAAGCCAATATATACAAAAGATGTTATTTGCACAATAATTATGAAACAAATTTAAGAATTTTAAAAAATCAAAAATCGATCAAATTCAAACCGAAAAAAATTGTATTGGATCAGATCGAATTTGAAAAAAAATTCAAACCCAATAGATGATTACATGATCAAACCGAAAGGATTGGATCTGATGATTTTTGCTTCTAAAACCGATCCAATCCAGACCGCGAACACCCCTAATCCAAATCATGGTTATCAGTATCATATAATACACAATATAATTTGTACGATATGATACGATCACAAGCACAACAATATGTATTATAGGGTATATCGAAAATGGATTTGTATTGTACGATACGATAAAAATATCATTTATCATACGATACGTATCGTGTATTATACGATACAGAAATTAAATAAAAAGTTATAATTTTTAGTATAAAAAAATTAAGATTTGATTTATGATTTTAAATTAAAAAAATCTAAAAAAGTATTGTTAATAAGGAAAAATAAAATAATGATTTGTGATTTAAACTAAAAAATAATCTAAAAAATCGGTATTAACAAAGGAAACAATTAAATAAATATTTTAATATATAATTTTAAATTATTTTTTATTATGTTTCTATATCTTATGATTCGATGCGAATACAAAAATCCGACCAAACAATACACGAGACGTATTACGGTTCAACAAACTTTATCCAAATATCTTCTAATATGTTTATTTGTAACAGAATACATGAAAAAAGATTAATACATAAGATTGCTTTTAAGTAAAAAATTATTAATTGCAACTACCTTTTAGTTATATTTATTTGATTTGATTAATTTATTTTTACAAATACTTCTTTAAATTTAATTTTTATTTTTTGGGTTTATGTTGAAGAGGAATAAGAATGGGCTTTATTGCTTTTAAGTTTTAACCGCGCCTTCTAAAGCGAGCAACCATTAACATTACCATTATATACCAAAATACCAAATCCGTCTCTCCTTCATTTTCTCCACAAATAAATTCACAAACGCTGTCGCACACACCTCCAAATCTCATCGTCTCGTCTTCGTGTTCATCCTCATCAACGAAAAACCCTTACCTCTCTTCTCTTTCACACACACAATTCTCTCGCACATAATAATAGATCGCTGTTGTATCTTAATTTCAGTTACAATCCGAAACGATAACCATTTCGATCTTCATGCTTTCCCTGGTTTCAGTTTATTGATTTATGCTTATTTTGTTTCGCATGCGATTGATATGATTTTCTCAGAATCGATTAAAATTGAAATGAACGGTGGAAGCATTAGTGAATGAATCTCGCAGAGTTTGAAAATGCCAGGATTAGCGCAAAGGATTGAACAATTTACTAATGACTCATCGACGCCGCCGTGCTCACTTTCTACCAATGGATTCTGGTCTAAGAATCGTGACGACGTTAGCTACAATCAGCTCCAGAAGGTACTGGATTCTCTTTTTTATTTTTCCATATTAGTTTTTAGATTGAATCTAGATCACTGATTTGTATTGATTATGGTGTTATCATAGTGATGGTTTGTTTGGCTTTGTATTGGATCTTACTTTTGAAGCAAGCCTTTGATTTCTTTCGCTGGGTTTGGATTTATCATTTTTAGATGCTATATATAAATATTTCTTTCTAATTCAGTATTTTTATGTTTGATAAATGTCATTCAGTTTACTCTTTCGTATCTTCACATTAGTGCCTGGTAAGGGTTATGAAATAAAAAAACCTGATGTTGGATGTGGATTCTAATATTTCTAGGTACTTTTTTTTTTATTGCCGCATTGAGCAATATTTCCCATTTTTGCAAGCATTGCTTCCCTTAAGGTACATATCAATGATAATTTTCTAGCTGAGGCAATGACTTATCAACAATGAAGCACACACTTCAAAATGGTCTCATATAGGTGTTGGACTCGTATTGGTGTTAAATACTTCTTCCACATTTCTGCAAGCATTGCCTCCCTCAAGGTTTATATTAATGATACATTTCTAGCTGAGGGGGCTGATCAACAATGAAGCACACACACTTCAAATATAGGTGTTGGACACTTGGCGGTGTTAGATACTTCTCCAACATTATTGGATACTCCTAACTTGTATACCACAAGTTTTTACTTTTATTTGTTTATTTGTTCTAAATTGTTATAATTGTTGGGATACCACAATAACGAGATAGATTATAGATTTTATTGTGTCTACATTGACAAATGTTGACTTTTGAAACATTAGTATCTTTATTTTAATTTAGTATTTGTGTTTTTGTGCTAATATTATATTAATTGTATGTTATACCCTTGTTGCATCTCGTCCTATAATTTTAAAGATTTTCCCTACTTCGCTGGGTGTTTCATATCGTATTCGTGTCCATGTCACATCCGTGCTTCCTAACTTATCAATGATTGTAAGCAACTATCTGAATTGCGGGACTACAGGGGGAAGAAAAGGAATGAGCATCCATTGGAACTTATATTAAATGACATAGAATGAGTTTTGACCTGAGGTCATGTTGCACATATTACCTTGTTATCTTGATAAAATTGCAATGGGAACCTTGGCACAAAGGTTGATGTTGTCACCATGTGACCCAGGAGTTACAGGTTTTGATTATTGTATTGTAATTAGCCTCTTGCAAATGCAAGGTAAGGCTGCCTACAATAGATCCACACAATGAGTTTAACCCTTAGTAGGAGCTTTATAGCACTAGGTTGCCCCTATTATCTTGATAAAATTGCAACTTGTAACATGCTTTCCTTGTCTCTTATTGGGTAGTTTACATTCTTTCAATACAGTTCTGGAGTGAGCTGTTGCCGCAAACTCGCCAAGATCTCTTGAGGATAGACAAACAATCCCTTTTTGAGCAAGCTCGTAAAAATATGTACTGCTCCAGATGCAATGGGCTGCTTCTTGAAGGTTTTTTGCAGATTATTATGTATGGGAAATCTTTGCAGCAGGAAGGGGTTGGTGCTAACTTTCCTTGCAACAGACCTGGGGGTTTGAAAAAACAAAATAATGGTGGATCAAGCATTATCAGTGGGTGCCAAGACGAAATTCAAGATCCTTCTGTCCTTCCTTGGGGAGGTCTGACCACAACTCGTGATGGTTCATTGACACTTATGGACTGCTACTTATACTCAAAGTCTCTGAAAGGACTGCAAATTGTAAGTGCAGCACATTTATATTGGACCCTCGTGTAACTATTTTTCCTGCTTGGTAGCTGAACTTTTTGCTCATGTTAGGTCTTTGATGGGGGCCGAGCAAGGGAGCGGGAAAGAGAATTGCTTTATCCTGATGCCTGTGGTGGGGGAGGCCGTGGTTGGATAAGCCAAGGAATAGTGAGTTATGGCAGAGGACATGGGACAAGAGAAACGTGTGCTCTGCACACTTCCAGACTTTCATGTGATACTCTGGTGGATTTTTGGTCAGCACTGGGAGAGGAGACTCGGCTTTCTCTTCTAAGGATGAAAGAAGAAGATTTTATTGAGAGACTTATGTACAGGTATCTATCTATTTGTACATTGCTTACACTGCGTTATTCCTTAGATGGGTGAAGATTGTTGTTGGTGGAATTCTAATATAATTTAGAATCAGTCAGACATTTGAAATTGATATATTAAGAATGAGAATCTGGACATGCCTTTGAAGGGTTTAAATTTCCTGAACATGGCTAAATTTGCTGGGGTCCAAGTTATCTATTTTGCACTCTTAAAAGTTTAGGTGGAAAAAAAGAGAAAAAGAAATTTGATATTCTTACCTTCCATATGCTAGTGATTTGTAATAGACTATCTGTTGGATTCTAGGACAGTTGAGCTGCTTTTTTGATGCTAAAAAGATGAACAGGGAACTCTTATAGTACACATGGAGTTAAAAAATTGTTTAGCAATATACTCCAGCTGCAGTAGATGAAGAATAAATAATGCTGTATTATGGAAATGTGTTACATAATTTTGTCAGATTAATGAGAAACATTTTAATGATTCATGGATTTTTAAGTTGAAAAATTATGTGATGTGCCTTCAGTTCTTTGTTTTGGATATGTCTATTCTGTCTGCTTCCATGTGCTGGAACCTACTGACCCAGGGGTCAGCCAACGGATTCCTTGTCATAGCCCATATGATATTGAAGGTTTTGTCGCAATTCTTGCTTAGGATAGTTTAGGTGTTGCATGATAAAAATTTAAAAACCATTCCACATAATAATTATTGTTCATGCTAGAATTATGAGTATGACGTAAAGACCTGGAGAAGCAGAATGATTCAGACTTTTATGGGACAGCCTTCATGTATGACATAGTGCAAGGTTTAGGCAATTGGATACTAGGGACATGTGGACGGATACATGCGTGATTATTGTAGATAAGAATGGATGATTTTGTTGGAGACAATTAAATACATTGGGACTTTTTAGACTGCAGACATGCACAATTAGATAAAAAGGATGGTGCTGCGTAAGAATTGTTTGTCATGCCATCATTGAGAAGATAAATTAACAGATAAGCTGTTGTTAGGATTGAACCCTACTGCATTCTCCACTCAAATGTGATTACTGTTTCTCATTGAGGTTTAAGGCATTAATTTAGTTAAACATTAATGTCCACTTACCTTTTCTTAAGGATATGGTGATTTGTTTGTCAGGAGATTTGTTGAAAGTAACACAGTGGAGTGAGTATATCGAGATTCTTAATTAAGGAACTTGAGTTAAGAAAGACAAAGAATCAGGAAAAGAAATAGTAGATTAACAGTCTATTATATATGAATTATGGAGTAGAGTAATAGGCAAGGCTTCTGCTCTTTCAAAGTGGTTTTGACGTAGGCACCTTGGTAGATAATAATATTAACAATTTTTTAATCTTTTTTATATAAGAAAATTTATTATAGATTTAGTGCAGTATTTTCTTTTTGCATGTTATTATCTGTTTATTTAATGTTCCCAGCCAGTGTTTTTGTCTCTGGAGTTACATGATGTGTCAGCAAAAGGTATTGAGTGAAGCGTTATGTTCCATGCTGTTTATTTAAAATTTCAAACGTTGTGTCTGCTGCTGCTGGCATGTTATTATCTGTTTATTTAATGTTCCATACTTATTGTTCTCTTGCCCTATATTCATATACTTGACTTTGTGTTTTTCAAGGATGTTCTATGCTTCTCTTTTTACTAATAAGTTACCATTTATCTATCAGGTTTGATAGCAAGAGATTTTGCAGAGATTGTAGAAGAAATGTTATTCGAGAATTCAAGGAACTAAAAGAACTGAAACGCATGCGCAGAGAACCTCGTTGCACCAGCTGGTTTTGTGTTGCTGACTCAGCCTTTCAGTATGAGGTGTGACTTTCATATTTCTGTCCTGTAAAATATGTTGTGATTTATATTTCAGTGGCAGAGTCTACAGAGTATCATTCTTATGAAAAGATTCTTTTATCGAGTTACCATTGACAACTAGAGTAGATATTCTATCTAACCCGATATTAATCCATTTGCTTTTATCAGGTATCTGATGACTCAATCCAAGCTGATTGGCATCAGGCTTTCGCTGATACTTCGGGATCCTATCAGCACTTTGAGTGGGCTGTGGGGACATCTGATGGAAAATCTGACATTTTGGAATTTGAAAATGTTGGATTGAATGGATGTGTTCAAGCCAGTGGCCTGGATCTTGGCAGTTTGACTGCATGTTTCATCACCCTCCGAGCTTGGAAACTAGATGGACGCTGTACTGAACTTTCTGTTAAAGCTCATTCATTGAAGGGTCAACAGTGTGTCCATTGCAGGCTAATTGTTGGAGATGGTTATGTTACAATCACAAAAGGGGAAAGTATCAAAAGATTCTTTGAGCATGCTGAAGAGGCAGAGGAAGAAGAGGTAATGCAGGTTTCACTTAGGAAATAAACTTTCTTGCTAAATATCCATAATCAATATGATCTCGTGAGGAATCTGTCAGATTAAGTTTTGTATGTTATTATATAATGTGTGCCGTTAGGATGATGATTCGATTGACAAGGATGGAAATGAGCTTGATGGAGAATGCTCACGTCCCCAAAAGCATGCAAAAAGCCCTGAACTTGCTCGGGAATTTCTGCTAGATGCTGCCACTGTTATTTTTAAAGAACAGGCATGTTTAGCGTTAACACTATTTTCCTGTGTCTGTCTGTCTTGTTCAACTGCTGACTATGTGTTATCCTTTCAGGTTGAAAAGGCTTTCAGAGAAGGAACAGCTCGCCAAAATGCACACAGCATATTTGTTTGTCTTGCACTAAAATTGCTGGAGGAACGAGTGCATGTAGCATGCAAAGAAATCATTACATTTGAAAAGCAGGTATTAGATATTATGCTTTTAGGAAAAAGGATTTAAGAACTCTTGTTTCTATTTTGGAATTACACTTCCTGGATCCTAATTATATTATTTTGTCTACAGATCAAACTTCTTGAAGAAGAAGAAAAGGAAAAACGAGAAGAAGAAGAACGCAAGGAGAGGAGGAGGACAAAGGAAAGGGAGAAAAAACTTCGTAGGAAGGAAAGACTAAAAGGAAAGGAAAAAGATAGAGAAAAAAGGTGTTCTGAATCAAATGATGTTCTTGGCTCTCCTGAAATCTCAAGTGAAGAATTGTCTGTAGTTGCTGATATGGAGCAAAATAATCCTATTAGCTGCAGGAATTCTGTTATTGAAACAGATGAAGCTAATCTATTGAGGGATGATTCTCCTAACATCCAAGATGAAGAATTCTCTGGTGAGTGTAATACTTTGAGAACACAAGATCACTCTTATGATGAAGAAAATTCCAATACAAAAGACGAGACAGGTCAGTCTACAGTTGAACAATCAGTACATTCTCATCGAAGACTAAAATGTAGGAAAGAATTTCAACAGGGTATGCCTATGAAGTGGTCTGACAAACGCCGACATGCAGTTGTTTCAGAAAATGGTGTGATGGATGGCAGATCTGAGCCAAGACATTATGGAGAGAGTTGTGTGGCATCATCCAGGGTAATCAATGGATTGAATAGGCTATCAAGAATAAATGTTCCAACAAAACCCAATGCTCGAAATGTTGGTCCTAAGTATAATGAGAAGTTCTATAGTACTACTAAGAACCGGATGAGTGACAGATGTGATACTCATTCCTGCAGTTGTAGCCTGAATAATGAATATAAGATAAGGGTTGAGCAACGTTCTCCTATGACTAGAGTTAGTAGGGAGACAAAACCTGCCTGTCAGTCTGAATCTTCAGGAGATGCATCTAAGCAGTTTTATCATGGTAATAAGTACAATCAAGTGGACTATATTCATGAGAGTAATGGTAGATCCAAAAGCAAAATCATCTCGGGGAACTATCCTGGAAGGGAATTGTTTCAATCAAAGAAAGTTTGGGAGCCAATGGAATCTCAGAAGAAATATCGCTGTATTAATTCAGACTCCAATGTCATTTTGATGTCCACTAAAGTTCAAGGAGTTCAGTCTGATCTGATCAAGTCATCTATTAGGGAAGCTGTTCGTTCAGGTGAGAATAATTATGAGGATTGTAATTCGAAGAGATTAAGTGGAATGGATGAAGGCTGTCAAAATGATTTTCATGTGGAAGCTGAAGGTTGTTGTAGCTCTATGGAAATTGCTTCTGAGGAATCTGGAATATGTCCAACTAGAGGCTCTGCCTTGAATAATTCTTCTGATCCAACTCAAAGCAGTACTGTTAGTTCTGATAACTACTCATCATGTCCAAGTGAAGGTGATAATAATTCAACCTCATCGAACCGTGAAAATGCAGAATCCTCAACCACATCAGATTCAGAAGATGTTAGCCAACAATCTGAAGTAAGAGATAGTTCAGCTTGTATTGAAAATGGCTTGTCTGAATGTCATGAAGTTGGCGTGGAGAATAACCAGAATGCAATTGGTGAAGGTTTGGCAAGAAGTTCAAGTTCACTAGGTGGTCCATCCTTGGATGGTACAAGAAATGATGCGTTGGGGAATCTTGTGGAAATTGTCCAAAATTTTGACAATGGTTTTTCCACCATTAATGTGTGTTCTCAACCTCAAAGCATGCTTCCACTTATGTCAAACCAAAATAAACAATTTCGAGTGTTTCAACCTCCATCAACAATGGGTTATTTCCATCAAAATCCAGTCTCATGGCCTGCTGGTCCCGCCAACGGGTTGATGCCCTTCCCACAGCCAAATCAGTATATGTATGCTGGCCCTCTTGGATATGGTTTAAATGAGGACCCACGCTTCTGCTTGCAGTATGGTGCCTTACAGCAACCAGCGCCCTTGTTCAACTCTGCTTTTCCAGTCTATCAGCCAGTTTCCAGAACTAATGTCTTAAATGCAGAGCAACGAACTCGAGTTTCCAAGCCAACTTCCTTGCCAGAGCATCTTAATGGATCTATTGCAGAAAATGCTGTTCCAGCTGGAGCTAATTCCAAAATACCAGCATTGAATGGAGAAGTTAGACATGATAATTTTGCTAAGTCACAAGAGAATAACAGTGACTTTTCATTGTTTCATTTTGGTGGGCCTGTAGCCCTTTCAACGGGTTGTAAATCGACTCTTGCATCTTCAAATGGTGGTGCTGTTGGCGATTTTAGATCAGAAAGCTCAGCAGATCATGTAGAAAAAGTCCATACTTGCAATAAGAAAGACGCTACCACCGTGGAGGAATACAACTTGTTTGCGGCAAGTAGTAGCCTAAGGTTTTCAATTTTCTAAAATGATAAAGTGAGAAGTGTAAGGTGGCTGTTGTGAAATCCAGTCCCTATCTTCATATATGGCAATGGAGGTTTGAGTACCTTGTAATTCGGTAAACAATAAGTTTCCTACAGCAATTTCCAATTTTAGTCTATAACTTGATTAGTTGATTGTTGTCCAGATTGTCTCTTTATTTCTTTCTTTGATGTAGAGAAAGATTGACAGTGTTGGTATTTTTAACTTTTTCTTTTTGGTGTGAGGGTGTGAGGTCATAATCACCTTAAAGTTTCAATGAAGCATTTGTTCTTCGCAACTCTTATCGTCATGCTGAAGCCAAAGCAATCTTCATAGTGAAAACTGTATTGGGAAAGTGGAAATTATCATGATGATTAAAGTATTTGCTTTACTAACCCTAAGGGTGGCTAAATTGGTAAGTGGACTATGCCCAAGGAGTCTTGCTAGGGTTAAAAGGTCTCGTTTAATTTCTAGGCGAACCAATTTGGGTAAGGGACAAATTTTTTCATGTTTTATGTCACGAAGGAAATTAGTCTTATCCATGTAAAAAAGAAAAAAAGAAAAAGAAGATAAAATATTTGCTTTACTCAGGTTGGTGATTTTTCTCATCCGATAGAAAAGTGGACTAATTCAATCAAATTTAGATCCTTTAATGTCAATCTCAAACATAACTTTGTCATGGAGAGAGACATGTTTTATCCAAGATGATGAATAGAACGAGAAGATGATCCTCCTGAGTTCATTGGTTGTGAGTCGTTAAATGCTTCTCTTCATGCTCCAGGTGGGAATAGGTGATATGCACGTGCAAAGACTTCAACACTCTTTCGGTAGTAAGAGATTGAAGTGGAATATGCAAGTTGGATGAAGATGTTTATTTTAGGAGTATTCATCAACTGATTCAAATCGATTCAAACCGCAATGATCTAATCGAAAAATTGATAATCGATAACCGAAAACTGAAAAATTAAAAACCGAAAACAAATCGCATATTTTAATTGGATTCGATCGATTTTTGATTTATTTGGTGAAGACCGATCTAATCCAATCCAATATATTATGTATTTATTATTTTAAAAAAATATAGTGAATTGAAATCTTGTTGTTTTATAGACTTGAAATTTTGAATGTTATTAATAACAAACTATCTTGTTTTAGTTTTTTATTGTCTATTAATTTATTTTAACTTTTTATGAATTTTAAGACTTGTTTTAGTCTGAAAACTTAAATTTTCCGGTGATTTATAAATTTGAATGGCTTTATTTTTTATAAGGTAGGGATTTGTATAATTGAAATTTTAAACTTTTCAAAAAATCAAAAATCGATCCAATCTAAACCGAATAAAATTGGATTGAATTTAAAAAAAAATTTAACCATGTCCTCTTCCCTCAAGGGTGACACACAGGCACACGCGTCTCACGAGTCACGAGGCTCAAGCCTATATGTAAACACATTCCTCGCATTTGCATATTCCACCTCAATCTCTTACTGACTTGAGCATTAGATCCTTGCATATGCACATCACCTCTTGTACACAGGAGCAAGAGCACGGAGAGAAGCAGCATTTAACGACTCAACCATTATACCAAGAATGACTGAGAACCATCCCGTCCTATCCAACGTCTTCGATATAACACCTTGCTACGTGGTTGAATCAGTAGGAACTCTAGAGCAAACTTACTACTTGCATTGTCAAGCCTTCAACCACTATGATTATAAGAGGTGATAAGAAAACATCCTTAAGTTTTATACTGTGTTAAAGAACTATTTGTGTTCTGCTGGTACGACTAACATAAGAACAATTTGTCTCCAATAGCTTTATACGACTAACTTAAGTTCCAAGATGCAATACAGAGCAGATGCCAAAACCAAAACATTGATACCAAGTTGTTGGCATTATCTAAGATACTTGTAAGGGCAAATATAGTCATAGTATACAACCTAAAAATTAAGGATAGTAAGGAAAAAAACCTTCCCACCGCCACACACAGGATTTTACAAGGGAAAGCCTCACATACCAATCAAATTAAGTCGTTTTATAATTGAAGTTTTCATCCAAAAATTCAAACTAACAGACCAAAAGCTAAAAACAATATAAAGAGTCCAATCATATTGTGTATTCAAATGTATATAGTTTTTAAGCCCCCGAGCAGATCAAAACAGCTAAATAAAGGCCAGGTTCATCCACAAATTCAGCCACATCAAAAGTATAAGCAGCTGCAACCCTTTGTAAATATGTTTTATCAGGTAGTTCAGAAACTACTACTTCTGGGTGCTGTTGTCGTTGCTGTTCTAATACTTCTCTCCCTTGGGGATGACTGATAATCACCCTTCCACCTAAAGGTCAAGTCCAACATTAAAAAGAATAAAGCATCTTGGGAGCACTGAGCTAAATTTTGAATATATGGCGCACTAAGAAAATCCATCAAACATTTTTACACATAAACATCTAATACAGACATATTTACAAGCAAACAACAGGGGTAGAAATTCTGGTAAGCAAGTAGTGTGTTAATAAATATTACACCCGAGAGGCAAAATTGCTCAAAGTTTCATGAAATTAGTTACAAGAAAATACATTACTCAAAGCTTCATGAAAGGCAAACTTTGAGATACAAGAAGTGTGAAAAAGTAAATAAAATGACTGCTTATACTTGAATGAAGTTCATATATTAGATTGGGTAATATGAAATTATAAATAACAGAAGCAGCTTTATTGGGTTTTCTACCTTCCAATATGCAATGAAATGGACAGTAACAGGAAAGAACAATATGCTATTACAAGAGGAAACTGATTACAGCGTTTTCAAAATTTAAAGAGAAAACTCACCAGGTGAAAACTTTTTAGCCAAAGACCCCAGAATTTCGTCAAGTTTGAAGGGCAAAGCAGGTAGGAAATAAAGGAACACAACATCAAATGGAGCCCATTTCTCTGGAACTTGTATAATCTCTCCTTGCCAACACTTAACCTTGTCATATTTCTCTTTAATACAAGCCAATATCAAAAGTGAATCATGGACAACAAACAGAGACTTGCAGGAATAAGAACCCATCAAGCAATCCACAAACCCTTCAGACCCAGTTGAAACCAAAACCCTTGAACTCTCTTCAACCTTTCCAGCAGATATAATGCGTTCAATGCTTCCCTTAAATTCCCCTTCGAAACTGGTTTCATCAGAATCAAGCACAGACCAATCCTTCTCAATAATTTCTTCAATGTGAACAAAAGATGAAGCCCCTTCAGGGAAAGAAACTGGGGCATCAATATTTGAGTCAGTGGCTTGCAGAAAAGTGTGCTTAGTGGATTTTGATGTCAGAGAAATGGGAGATAGATTCACACCACTGTCATATAAATAATGGTGATAAATGGGTTGGTGTTTCGTTTGAAGACGGAGGCGGAACTTGCATACTGGTGGGGATGTAAGGAAGAACGAACCTAAAGAAACTGAATTCATTGAAAAACGAACAAAGTTCTACACTTGGGAGTGATTGCTGGTTCAAATGTGAGAGATTGGGAAAGCTCCAAAAAATAAAAATAAAAACCTAAAAGAGGCAATAGAAATTAAATATTAGTTGCAGGTTGAAGAATGAAGACTAATTTGCATCCAATGGTGGTGGAAAAAGCTGAGGGTAGCATATCAGGATATAGAGCGCAGAGGACATGGTGCCGCTGACTTACCTTATTGTAAATTAACATTAAAATGCATTATCTAATAAAAAGACTAAATATTTTTTTGGTGATCGATAAATTTCACGATGTCCGTCTTAGTATTAGTAAATAAAAAGACTATTCATGATCTTTAAAAAATTTAAAATGAATCTATTTAGTTAAAATTATAATCTCTCACAAATTCAAAAAGACCCACATTAGTCCCTCAAAAGGACTAAAATGGATCTATTTTGAATTTCTTAAAGACCATAAATAGCCTTTTTATTTGTTAAGGACTAAATCAGATATCATAAAATTTGCTGAGGACCGAAAATGGTATTTACTCTAATAAAAATGTTGGGTATTATTGAAAAATTAATAATTGAACTTATATAAATGAAATTAATTTATTTAAATATAATATATTTTCTTATTAATAATTATCTTCATAGTTTGTCACAAGCTCAGCATGTATTTTTTTTTTTTTTAAAGAAATTATATTAAGAGAAGTCTCACCCTCGTATAAAGTTATAACAGTGTATCCACCTTAGCAAAAAGTTATAATAAAATTATTACATATCGCTGGCTTAACAATAAGTAACTCAAGTTCTATAATAAAAAAAATTTGTTATTTTTTTCCTGAAATTTGAAGTAGATATATCCATCGAAAAGGACTTCAACTTTTTCATTTTTTTTTATTTCTCATTTGCTGATATTTTTGGCGTATAAAGCTATTGGAACAATTTTATTATGTTGTTATAAAAATATAATCTCTGGGAAATTAATAATTTTCTAGCGAAGGCGAAGCGATTGGAAAAATTTGCAAATAAAGTGCGTTTTGTTGGATTCTGTTACATTTTGGAAGATGAAGAAGTCAATTTACTATACATATATTATATTGTTTGGGCTAGTTACTGAAATTGGTCTGGATTGGCATGTCGTCAAGCCCATTAGATATTTGCAGTATTTTTTTTGTTTGGCAGTAGTTAAGTTGAGCACATCTAGACCATAGTCCGAAAGGAACAGCCCAAAAAAGAAGCAATAGTGTTTGGTCCCCAAAAAGGACAAAAAAGAAAAGAAAAAGAAAAGAGATGTACCAGAACCCTAACCGAAGCGTATGCGGGGTGGCAAAATGAGTTGGTCCGCTCCGACCCACTTCAATCGGTAAAAAATGGGCTCGTCCCGTCTCGCCTTTTGAATGTGGGCTGAAAATCTCAACCCGCTCCATTTTATTGTGGACTCACCTAAAAAATAAAAAATAATTAAAAAATATAATTTAATTATTTTTTATTAAATTTATAATATTACTTATTTTCATATCACACTCCCCTTAGTGCCCCTCCCCCCCCCCCCCAAATTTAAGCCTAAATGTATGCTAATATTCACATATAGACCATAGTTCAAAACGAACAACCCAAAAAGGAAGCAGTAGTGTTTGGTCCCAAAAAGGACCAAAAGAAAAAAGACAGCAAAAGTAAATCAAAAAAGAAAAGAAAAGAGATGTACCAGAACCCTAAACGATTGAAGCGTATGCGAGGTGGCAAAATGGGTCGGTCCGCTCCAACCCACTTCAACCCGTAAAAAACGGGCTCGTCTTGTCCCGCCTTTTGCATTGAGATGTGGATGATGCAAGAAGAAATGTGCTAAAAAAAAGTGATAAGCATGATACATTCAACCCACTTCAACCCGTATGCGGTGGGGAATTCAAGTGTAAGTGATAAAAAAAGTCTCACATCAAGAAGAAATGAGCTAAGCATGATACATATAAGTGAAATGGCCTATAAATTCAATGACTTGATGTTTTGCATTGAGATGTGGTTTGGTTCTCATTGTTGTGGGTTTACCGCTTGGGTCCATTTAATGCGTAGATGATAGTCTTCCCTAATTATGGGCTCCCTTTGGCCCGCATGATTTTGGTATCAAAGCCAATGATTGATTGGCTGGGTATATTGAGTATTTGAATGATGATGGTTGGTGTCTGAGTTTGTAGGTTGTGCAAACTCATGTGAAGTCCCACATTGAGGGGGAAGATTGTTGAGATATTCAAGTGTGATAGAGTTCCACATTGGTTGATAATGGGTGTAAAGAATCAATTTAACCTAAAAGTTTAAGCTACTAGGTGAGGCCACATTTAATGATTTTATATTTCTCTAACACGCCCTCTCACACGAGAGCACATTAGACTTGAAGAGTGGATGATGCATCAGGTCTAATCTACCTGTGTTAAGAAGCTCCATAATATTTAATTATTTTTTATTAATAGAATAAAGGAGGTGAAGATCGAACACATGACCACTTAGTGATGTTGGCTTTGATACCATGTAAAGAACCAATTCAACCTCAAAATTTAAGTTTTTGGGTGAAATAATTTTTTACATGGTTGGTGGCCACGAGATCACAAGTTCGATCCTTATTACCTCCCACTTTCTAGAAGAATTAAGTTAGCACACAGTAGAACCAAAAAAATGGGTCTGTGTATTATCTATGTTTCGCCCAAAGGGTTTGCGTGAAGGGGTGCGTTAGAGATATATAATATAAAAATTATTGACGAGTCTTCACTTCTCAGCTTAAGCTTTTGGGTTGAAATAATTATTTGCATGCCCACTTGATATGGTTGATCGCCCCCTTGCTGCCTGACAGTTGTATCAGAGGCAGGTTTGGCTTGGGCTAGCTTGATGTTTGGGTAGATGTGGGTTGAGTACTTGGTCCTAGGGTACTCCAAGAGAAGGAGGAGCATATCAATATGGATTTCACAATTGAGGGAGAGAGCGGGACTACTGTGGGAGAACCCATGAAACCAATATCTTAAGATTTTAGATTGAGACATGATGTTAGATCCACTTGATGTGATTGATATAATTTAATATATTGATAGTGATATTTGTGCTGGCAAAAACAATAACATTACATAAGTTGAATTTAGACATTATAAACAAAAGATAAATTATTATTTATCTAATCGATGCAGTATTCCACTTTTAATAATATAATAATTCAAAAATAATTAAAAGTTATAGGCTACAAGTATATAAATGTATGGGAAAAACTATTCTTATGCTATATGTGATAAATTTTTCTCATACACACCCTTCGTTAACTGTGCCACATTTTTCTTTTCTTTTCTTTTTATTTTTCAGGTGGTGGAGCCCACAAGTTTATCTCTATTACATGATATAACTTATCTCCTTTAACATGAGATTAATAAAACCTTAAAAGTATTACAAAACTATACGATAAGATATGTATCAAATAAAGATATGCTAATCATTTGGAAGCGTATGTACTTCCTGATTAAAACATCACTAGATGAAATTTCAACAAAGAACTTTGTGGTTTTTTTTTTTTTTTTTTTTTGCAAATGTAAGTGTCTTATAAATTCATCCTTTATATATTTACATAGTAAAAATTAAATTCTTTACTTTTAACAGGGTTAAGTATAATTCTAGCTCTTATTTATATAAAATTTCGTTTCTTTTTCGTATCAAATAATATTTGATATAGTGAGCAACTACTGTAACCGAATTTGTTAAGGTTCCGGTTCAGGCATTGTATTGGTTCTCAACTTAAGCCAGTATAATCGATATTAGTTTTTTAATTAAATCGGTTCAATAGAATTTTGTGTAAAATATTTATAAAGTGAAGATGCTAGGGATCAAACATGGACTTCGGAGATTGAAGCTTGCATGTTTGTCACTAGACCAACTCTATTTATTGGTTGTAATATTTCTAATTTTATATTTATTATATATTATTATATATTTAATTCGAGTAATTAGTTAGACTAGTGATCCATTGATCTAGCACTTCAACCAAATCAACAACCTATATGAATTTATTGATCTAGCACTTCAACCAAATCAACAACCTATATGAATTTAATAACATTAGTTATACCAATCTTAATGCATAGCTCCATAAAAGGAGTAGCTCTTATTTATATGTATTAATTTTGTTCATTTTGAATACATTTCACCATAATCATAATTTCTCATTTTCTCTGCGTGGCACTATGTTTTTCTAGTATTATCTAATGGTTCCATCCAAGTTTTTGTATTTTACGAGTTCGAAGTTTAAAACAAAATTGCAAAATGGAGGGGGTGAGTTGGAAAAGGCACACAATGTGTTTATAGCACAAATCTCACTATTAGCTTGTGAGAGTATTTTGCTTATATAAAGGAAAATGTTATTTGAACTACTCTAATTTGAGATAAGATAAGCATGATAATAAGTGTGCAGAACTTTAGAGTTTTCGTTGAAATATTTTTTATATGACATTGCACAAACCCAAAATTTTAAAATAATATAATCTTTATATATACATAAAATGTTATTCACATAACATTAATCTTACTTAATAAGCAACTTGTCATGTATCCTAAAAAGGTAAATGCATAAGAGATTTTGGAAGAAAAAAATTATAAATGATCGGATGAATTGGTCACTGGACCTGTTGTACTAGGACACAATTGTATGTTGCTTTTTTCTTGTGCTTTTCGAGAGAAAAAAATTGGGTATACGGATCTCAATTGCTTCCTTGAGGCGAGAACTCAGGTTCTTTCCCATCCTACTCAGTCTGGTTGCCAATTGAACTACATTTATTGGATTGTTTTTCGAATTTTTTCTGGTATATTAATTGTATGCTTTTATTTTTTTATTTTTGGAAAAATATTGTATGCACATACTTTTTCACAGTCACTTGCCAACAATACCCAGATCCAAGTGGTCCAGTATTCCTGTTCGCATACATGAATTATGAAATATTCTCTGAGCGTAGGTTCCTGCAGACTATCACTATCAGTTTCGTCCCAAACTCGCTCTCAACTTCATATTTTGGTGACATGACGGGCAAAAACAAATAGACCTTTTTTTTTAATAATATTTTCATATTACTTCTTTCACCGCACATTTACGCCATCTCTCACAAAAAAATTTAAACTATTTCATCTTACACATTACACTTTTAGCTATTAATTGTTACATTGAATCGATGTCCTATGCGTTTGATATACATGACGTGAACTACATATACCCAATAAGAAATTATCATCAAATCAAAAGAAAGAAACAAAGAAACTAACTGTAATGAGACGACCTACTATAAAATTCTCTCTTGAAACTAGAACCTAGGCAAGAGGGATCAAAGAGTCAATCAAATTTAGAATGCCATGCACCTGCATAGCAGGTAAGTAGAGCAATGCATTTCTCTTTGGAATTGGACGTATAGAACAGTGTTTTATTTAGCATCCCCTTGTCTTCGATATCCTTTAAGTACTTAAAGCTCTTTGACCATGTACTATGTACCTTGAAGGAATTTTAGCTCGAATCCTACTTCCCAACCGGCCTCTCTCGTGGACAACTCAAAACAGCCCAAGCAAAGCGCTTGGAATAACCTCCAACAGAACTACTTTGTTCAATCTAGATGCTAGTGTTGTACATAATAATAAGTGTCAACCTGTTTGTCCACCAATTAGCAGCATAAAGAGAGGTAAAAGGGACACAAACGCAAACGAAACTTCATTATTAATGCACATTTGAAGCCAATATTACTTTCAATACTTTAAACGTTATCCCCCTAGAGATGCCAACCAAATAAAAAAAGGGACCAAATTAGCACAAAATTTGAAGGAATGGAGTAAAGAAGGCTGGGAGAAGGGAAACGACCATTGTTTGGATGTACAAATGGGAAACCCTTGCTATGAACCAAAAAGGACAGTGACGGGGAAGAGAAAAACACACTTTCCTGCGAACAACAATCTTTACACACCTCTCTCTCAAGCCACTCCTACTAAATGCAAATTGTAATAATGGATCAACTCAAAAGTCACTATTACAGGATCACATCAAATGTCAAAACCATCCAATTGCAAACTCTCTCTAGTCGAACCTAAGATATCAGTTTCAGCTCCATGTGACTTTTTTAGCTTTGCTACCAGAACCCACATGTTGGCAAGTTCATTTTCCAGGTATGCTTCTCTTTGCTTGGACTCCTCAATCTTTCTTTGAAGCTCGGCCTCTTTCTGATCTTTATCTAAAAGGGCAGCTTCATATGAAAGTTCCCTTTCTTTACTCAAGGCTAATTCTCTCTTGATATCTAAGTTTGATCCACCCTGATCATTTCGTCTAAGTCTAGCATGACTTTCCCTTCGTCCATTTTGGACTGTTCCACTAGTTCTACGTTGGTTGGGTGAATTCTTGGACACAGCTAGCTCAGCAGCTAGTCTCTCATTATGGTTCATGAGTTTGGCAACCTCTTCTGACAATGCCTTAAGCTCAACAGCAGCAGCCGAAGCTAGGCCCTTAGCATATGAACTCTCTTCTGCCAGTTTCTGATTCCTATGTTCTAGCTGCTCCTTTGATTCTGTTAGTTCTGTCACCTTCTGCTTCAGCTCTTCAATCTCACTTATCTAATTAAGAAATGCACAAGGCCAGTGGGAATGATGACTTGACTATATACAAAATAAATAATACAGTTTGAAGATTGTAACTTAATTAACAGCAGAATAGAAGGCAGGTAGAAACAATTAATCAGTTAATAGACATTTCTTGTCTCGTAGGAATAACTGAAGATATTAGTTTTCACTTCTTAGTTTGTAAAATTTGCAACTTAATCTCTATTTAAAAGGTTTCCTTCACGAACTAAAAGTTCTTATGAAAAGTAGAAAACAAACCCAAACAGGTGTTAGAGATCTAAACCAATCTCAGAATACGCTCATCATTTTTAATTTTCTTATGTCAGAAATAAGTAAGAGAATAGGTGTTTTCCAGTATCAAAATTGGATGCATGGAATCATGAGTAGGTTGCGACCATTTCAAACTTCAATAAGTATCCGGAGTGTAGACAGGCTGAGGTTCTAAATATGTACAAATCTTGACCCATGCACGTTTACTAGGATGAGAAGTATCCATGGAAATCCAATAGTTAAGATTTGCTCCCCTGGCTTCTCATAATAAGATAGAACTCTCACTTGAAATAAATATTTGCACAGTAATAATGAAGTTATAGCAAGTAGTTTGCAATGGTATTGTATCATAGGGGACAATGTAGGCAGCCTTTCATTTGCTGAAAAAATAATGACTAATCACGCCCACTCTTTCTAGAGAGGAATGAAAGATTAAGATCTGTAATAGCATCCGATAAAGAAAGACAAGGTAAAAAATATACCTGTGCTTGCAAAAGATCTTCATTGGTATTTTTTTTCATCACATTTCCCTTGTCAAGGTGAAGTTCACCACGATAGTCTTTGGTTACAGAAAAATGTTGTGAATGATTGACTACAGGGCCAAAATTTCTCAACTCTAATGCATCTGCAAGTTGCTGTTTCAGAGAGGCAATTGTTTCTTGCATGCTTTCACATTCACAGATCTGACGATGCCAAATCACTTAGCTAAGAACATGATACAAAGAAGAATAATACGAATTTCATAAAAAGTTTAAGCTATATTTTTCACCTTCTGATTAAGCTGTTCTTGAATTATACGGTTATCTGCTGCTTTGACCTGAATTAGCACAATAACGTGCATATTAGTTAATACTGCGGTTATCAGAAAACAACTCTCAGCAAGGCCACATGTTCATGCACTGCTATAAATTTTGGCAGTTGAAATGTCTATGCTACATTATAATATAAGAAACACCACTGTCTTGCATGATTGGAATTATGGCTTTTAAAATATCATAAAATTATTGACATAATTACTATCTATTTTATTTTGATTGGAAAGTACTACAATACAATTGTATTTAAGAACTAATTAAATGGATTTGACCTCCAACATGTTCCATAAGAAGACTGCTGATTTCTACTTTTCAATTGAGTTCCATCTGGACTTTCTGTCTAATGCAATGGTATGTTGGAAAATATTAGCAAGGTGTAAATAATTGTCACCTCAAGTTCAAAGGATTTCTCATTTAATTGTGCCATCAGCTCCTCAGTAACAGTCTGCCATACAAAACAACCCGCATTAAGTTGGACTACAGACAAGGGGGGAAAGCAACAATATTGTCAAGTGAACATACCTGTGAACCTCCTGATTGATCCATCTTATCTGAAGTAATGAAATAATTAGAAATTTGCTTTTCCAGCAAATCTATTTGTTCACTTTTTGCCTTAATTTCATCTTTCAACCTTTCCATCTCCACCTTAGTATGAATCAAACACAAAAATCAACTTTTAGGCACAATAGTCAGAGAAACAATTCTATTCACACAAACACATCTAATGAGATAAAGATGGAGATGGTAACCTACATGAATCTGACCATTCTGAGGATTTTTTGTTATTTCCTCAGACAGCCTCTTCAAAGCACTTGAATGAAGTGCCACTTCTCCAGATAAAATCTTTTGATGCTCCCTCAGAAGATCAATCTGATCAACTGATTTGATGCTTGTCTAGAAAGTAAAAACAAAAGTGATACCTAATAAGGTAAAAATTTAGATGTCCACATAATATACACTCATCACACATCTTTGCCAAGAATCCACCATATTTATCCATTTTAAGGTAAAACAGAGATATCATCACGCAAATAAGAGAGATTTGATATTCTCAAACTGAATGCAAAACATGGTTACTCTTTTAGGTCTAGACTCTAACACTTAGACAAGTAAAACGATCACCAGATGAAAAAGTGATGGTAATATTTGAAAACAAAAAGGAAGCAATAATTGGCCACAAACCAAATAAACAATGTCTGACATCGGGAGAAACTTTTCTTGTAAGACAAGGACATCTGTGCACTAAACTACACTCGAGGGCAACTGGGCAACCCTAGATACTAAAACACAAATGCATTACTAGCACGATTGAGGTTGTTTCTAGTGGTTTTCAAAGCATTTAAGTGACCTTTGATATAACAATCACTTTACTGGCTTTTGGCAAAACATATAGTAGTACATAAAATCTGGTTTTTTGTCCTGTTCATTACTAGAGTGAATATGAGATTTTCCAAATGCTAGAAAGAGACATTTTTCTCCAGATCTGCATTAAGGGGGAAGAAAAAAACAACAACTCCCCATTAAACTCGACTAGCAAGGGTAGGAGTAAGGGCAATACTTGTATGCTGCCTTACCCTGGCATATTTGCAAAAAGACTGTTTTCCGAATACGAACCTGTAACCTTTCAATCACAAAAGAGCAGCTTCCGGGCTCCAAAAAAAAAAGGTCAATTACTTACCAAAGGTGTCTCTTGTCCCAATAAACTATCCTCGTGAATATCTTTATCCTCTCTTGCCTCTGATATAAGATCAGCAGATGGAGAGCTTTCTGCAAGTAGAGAATGGGAAAGTCTGGATTCCGCATGATTGTCACTTTCTGCTTGAGGCGTGGAAGGTATGCTAGTAGATTTTCCTCCACTAGATTTTTCACTAGTGCCTGTCAAGCCACTATCTCGTTTCTGATAAAAATAGTGAAACACACAAGCTTAAACAAATAGAAATTTAACTCATACTCAAAAATAAAACGATCCATTATGCAACTTGGGATACATTAGATGTTAAAAACAAGGTACCTAATCAAACACACCCCCAGTGTGCATCAAAATAAATGTTACTTGAGCTAAATGATGATTATAAACTTGCAACAAAGTAGAACTCGGGTTTACAAATGCATGGCCCAGAAAAAGCTTGAATTTTTGTGTAGTTAAATGCAGTCAAGTAGGTTTTGGAATGATGATTAAAACTCTCAAATGTCAAATACAAATTCAAAACAATCCCTAATAAAGAAGCAAAATGCATTTCAATTTCTAAAGTTTCAATAAGAATAAAGGAATAATACCAATGAATGCATAAAAAGCCATTGCTAAACCAACCTGTCACGTTATTTTAAATACAAGGTCAAACAGAGATTTTAAAGTTCTTAATTGCCAAAAAAAGTAGATTCATAAAGAGTAGGAGAAGCAGACAACGAATAAGAGGATCAGTCACTTAAGTCTGATAGGTTTAAAAAAGAAGAAAGTGAAAGAATCCAAATCAAACCTCATAATCAATATATGCAAGCTATAGAGCTTAAAATATAACATATATTTCAATAATGTTCTTATAATTCCCTAACATCAGCAAGCAACAATGGAAAACTTACACGTGATTTGAACCAATTTAGTAGTCCATGCTTCTTTATCTTTTTCTCCTCCTTAGAAGAATGATCAGCTGTTGCAGCATTTCCCTCCAGTTTAACATATAAATCAATATTTTCCTCATCTAAGATTAAATCCCGCCTTTTGTATGGAAGGTATGCCAGCTGCAAACATAATTGGTAATTAAAAAAGGTAGGGATTGAGACAAAATATGTAAAAGTAATCTAAAATCCTGATACTTAGAAAAAAAGGGTGGATCGGGGAGTAATTGCAAAATGAGAAAATACCTCTTCTTCCCCAAAGGAATGTCTTCTACGAGGACCAGGCCTGTTAGGAAATCTTGTTGATTCTGATGCTTTTGTGGAGACCAAAATCAACTTAGTCAACCGTTGAATTCTGCCTAGCAAAGCAGCTTTAGCTTCTTCTTCTTGTTCCAATCTGGATCGCAACCTAACTTGACCGTCTTCTAACTTTACATAATCACAACAATTGATAAACATTCAAAATTAGAATGTTAATTTTATAAAATACCAATGAATTCAATGTGCAGTTAATTTATTTCCCAATAATTAATTACGCTCATTTCGAAATCCATACACCATGCCTTTAAAGGAGTAAAAAAAAAACTAATTAGCTTTTTACCTTTAATATTTATCCTCAACTTCTAGGAAAAGGCTGTGATTTATATGTAACATTACCTACCTTTTGTTTTAGGAGCTCAATGTCATCATCTCCAGTATCTTTTGACTGAACTGTGACAATACCCCTCTTTAATTGTTCCAATTCTTCCTTTAAGCATTGAATCTCTTGTTGGTACTTCTTGATAAGTGACTTCTCATCAATTATCTGCAGGTTCAATTTAAAGTAAACAAGAAATTATAAAGGGATCAGAGAGACTACAAGATTAAAGGATGAGATCAACCATAGGAAAAGGGTTTGTAGAAAAGAATAACATACTTGAAAAAGGTAGTGAAATATATTATTGAATTGTGTTTTACAACTGTACAAGAGCTCTATATTTAAAGAGACTAAACGACCTAATGGGCTAAGCCCAAAGAAGATTCTAGAATGAATAAATAAATAAATAATTACAATTATTTACAACAAACATAAAAGGGGGCGAACCGGAGCAGTGGTAAAATTGTTCCTTCATGACTGAAAGGTCATGGGTTCGAATCCAGGAAATAGCCTCTTTGCAATTATACAAGGATAAGGCTGCGTATAAGGATTTCCTCCACCCCACACTCGCTAGTCTGGTTTAACGGGGAGTGGTTTTTTTACTTACAACAAAGTGACAAACATCAATCATCATACTTTCCAATCATGCTAAATATTTAATGTAGAACTCCTTATGAAACAGTAGAGGCAGAGCAGCAAAGTGAAGAGAAGTGAAGAACACCACCTTGTTTCCAAAGTAGACAAAAATATAATACTGAATTTTAAAAATTCAGGCATCTCATTTCAATCACCAACGACAGCAAACACAGAAGATTTCCCAAAATACCTTCCCTTCTAAAATCTGCAGGTTCATATAATTTCTTCCCAATGCAATCAAAAGATACTGTATTTCAACTTACCTTGTTTTGTGCAGCTTGTATTTCAATGTGCTTTGCCCGGTGGGCGAACTTCAATGTGTTGTGTGTCTCTTCAGTACTACTTGATGAAGGAGTTACTGTGCAAATGAGCTGTATTTTAAATGATAATAAACTATCAGATTTGCTAATTTATGTTGCAGCATACAAATATCTACACAAAGGAAGCCTTACAGATATACGTCCATGACCACTGAGTGAAGACTGAAGTATTCTAGTCAATTTGGAGTCCCTATAAGGTATGTGACTAGCTTTATCTTCAGTCAATTTTGAAATAACCTGTGCAAAAAAGATAATTACACTTCAAAACAGGCATAAACACACAGGTCCATGGAACACAACAGCAAACAGTGAATTATATATGCTTGGAAACTACTGCACAGAGATCATTCTCAAAAGAGTGGACTATCATTCTATCAATAACAGAAAGGACATTATAATAACAGTAGAAAACACAACTGGCTGCTGAAAGCCTTAATATGATGAAGAACTGTAAACATTCTAAAGAAAGGCCAGGTGGCCATTGCAAGACAAACATGTCCTAACCTAAAAGTAAACTCATAAAAGAAAGAGAAGGCCCAAGCCTTAGAATATAGAAAAGGAAGACCATGGAGCTTGTAAACTGGATCAATGGTAAAAAAAAAAAAAAAAAAACACTCCCCGTTAAACCCGACTAGCGAGTGTGGGGTGGAGGAAATCCTTGTACGCAGTCTTACCCTTGCATAATTGGAAAAAGGCTATTTCCTGAATCAATGGTATAAGAGAAAAATATTTATTGTATTTAATTTTGTATAAAACCCAAAATGTTTCTCGTTGAGAAGGAGGACTTATGATCCAAGCAGTTCGGAGAAAAAGTATCATAAGTCCTATCTAACTTCAATATTTTAGCTATGAACTATAATCAACCATCAATGCAATCATATTTTGTGAAGTATAATGTAGCTGTCTGTTACTTTTCTTCCCCTTCTTTCCAAACATATCATGCTGCTTTATTTGTCCATGTCATTTAATTGAAAATGAAAAAAAAAATATTTTTCTCCTTTCAATATAATTTCGCTTTTCTAAGCTTATTTGAAAAAAATGGAGTCTTCCATTTCAAAAATTAAAATAAAATAATGTAGACAAAGGAGAGACTGTCATGATTATTAATGAACACATGCATAATATTTTTTTTTGTATAGTTGGAGGACTAAATGGTCTTTTGCAATTTTGGTTTGGTTTATGAACCTATATTCAAGGGGGCGAACTGGAACAGTGGTAAAGCTTTTCTTTCATGACTAAAAGGTCATGGGTTCGAATCCAGAAAACAACCTCTTTACAATTATGCAAAAATAAGGCCGTGTACAAGGATTGCCTCCACTCCACACTCGCTAGTCAGGTTTAATGGGGAGTGGTTTTTTTTTTATGAACCTATTATTCAGATTTAATAAAGTTTAGCTGGCTATTTCAAAACTGGGTAAAGCTCAAGCTAGCTATTATTTTCCCGATACTTATAATCATGATCTTGATCTAAATAGTTCTATTTAAAATTCAGTTTTTACTAGAGCCCAATGTCGATTGATCAATGTGCCAACTCCACCTATTGGGATAAGGCTTGGTTGGGAAAATTGAAGCCCATTTAAATGTTCCATGGATATTGGACTATCCAAATAAAGAAATTTTATAAATTAATTAAAAAGAAAAAATAATTCTATGGCTGTGTGTGCCAGGCTGCTAAAACCATGAATTTATGCTTAATTTGTACTTTTTTAAAATTTTAGTAACAGACATTTATGGTGTTTTTTTGGTTTAATGCTTGTATGGAAGTGTTCAAGACTTCAAGGGTTTCTAAATTTCTATGAAATTTTAGACAGTGCAACATAAATATAAAATAAGAAAATAGTGATTAAATTATGGCAACTAATTTCCAGCCAGTGGATCATACAGAAGTTAATAAAAAGAAACAGATATCTCTACTGGCAAATAAAACACAGAGACAATCTGGCAAGCTTGGCTAACAAAGTTTAAGACCTCATAACCAAAGCCATAGCTCGAGTGCTGCGTGTCCCTTCAGGGACTGCCTGATCCCAAAATTTGAATACCCCGGCCGACCTCTTTGCTTGCACTTCAGCCTACTCTTCCCCTCCCCACACTAGGTTTTAGAATCCTATGTACACTGTCAATATGGTTGGCAAATGGATTCATTACTACACCAGCTAGCCAGCCCATCCATTTATTATTGGATGGTTAATAGATCATCCAACTTATTTCTTTTTCCTTTTTTTTTTTTGGAAATATTCCATCGATTCATTGTTTCGCGACTAGTCCGATTCGAGACAGGTCCAGAATTAAGGCTTTAAACCCCTCCCAAAGGTGGTACTGGAGAGGATCGAATACATGTTCTCACCCCACCTGCTCAGCTCCTGTAAAGAACCACTTCAACTCAAAACCTTAAGGTGTTGGACGAGGGCCTTTTTAATGGTTTATATTATCCACTAACACACCCCCTCACGGAAGAGCCCTTTGGGCTTGAAGCGTGAATATTACATAGGCCCAATTTTTTTGGTTTACCTTGTTATTATTTTAATTCCACTAGAAAATAGGAGGCGGTGAGGATCGAAATCATGACCTTATTGGTCACTGAAGCTCTGATACCATGTAAAGAACCACTTCAACCCAAAACATTTATGTGTTGGATGAGGGCATTTTTAATGGTTTATATTATTTACTAACAGCTCCTATGTGCCAACTGAGCTGCCACCATTTGGTTCATCCAACTTATTTCTTAACCATTAGACCAAAATGAATTGACCTTTTGCAATCCAGGCCAAAAGCTTAAACCAAAATTTTGCACTACAGCTTCCTTTCTTGCTTTCCTGAAAAATATTCCCAACTTTTCTCTTAGAAATCCTCCTTCTCTTTGTCACTCACTCAAACTTCTACACTAATCAATGCCACATTCTCTCCATTTTCCAGCACCATACTATTCAATGTTTTCCTTTTAAAGATCATGTACAAACCCATCTCCATCTCAATTCCTCTACATCTCATCCATGAAAAGGTATCAGTTTTATAGCGCTGCCACTAGTGACTCTTCCATCAATCATTGTTATTTTGGACTCTTTATCCTTATTATTTTCACACATTTTGCAGCATTCTGGGTTCAGTTTTAGGGCTTCCATTTCATCAATTTCTTTGATTTTGGGATCTCTATTGCAATTCCCCTTCTCTGAATTGTGATCTGCCACTGTCACAAAGTTCCAGTTCTTAATCTTCCAAACTTTGGGTCCTTGGGTAACTGTATAGCATGATCCATAGCTCGATTACCAATTACTTTGATTTTTACCCATTCATTATTGTCCAATCCACAATCCATCCATCTGCTAGCCCTAACTCTCAATGATCAACTATACCAAAAGCTTAAATTACTAAGTGAGGGAACATGACTAATTTTATATTACATCTTTAACACAGCTCCTTATGCAACAGTTGTTTGGGCTAAAATTTTGGATCACAAACCGATTGATAATCCCCTACGGCCCTACTTTATCTCTTTCTCATGCAAAAAGAAGCATAAAACTCCAAAATTATTGACAAAATCATGATTTGTCTCTATTTCATGCATTTAGGATATATTTAGGATTTACAAATTATTTTCCTATTTTATTAGAATTTTCAGGTAATTCACTCCTATTTTTCATTATTTCCTTATCAGGAATTTCCCCAGTATAATGAGCGCTAAATCACAAGGAAAAGTTTTTAAGAAAATATATCTCAAGAACGCAAAGATATTTAAGTAGTGAAATGTTGAAGACGTTTTAAAATTTAAAAAGGAAATTTCCAGATTAATGAAGAGAAGATTTTGAGGAAATAAAATTCCCTGGAGATTACATAACCCTAATGAGATTAGGAATTTAATTTAAATGGAAACCAAATCCTAATAATATAGGGATTCTCTACACTATAAAAAGGGATCAAGGGAGACACATTGCATGACCAATATCATATCATATACCCCTTGGGGGCAACCCTCTTCTCCTTTTCTTTTTTCTCTTTGTATTTCTAATTTTTTATTGTTAGGGTTACATGGAATCCAATTGAGACTTGATGTGACTTGATTTATATTTTTCAATGCAATATTTCCTTTCCATATTGAATGAATTATCCTATAATGCTTCTATGAGTTGCCTTGTTGTAGATTGATTTTGGGTTTATCATTTATGTATGACAATAGGAATGTAGGTATATGAACTAGACTTGGATAATTCTACCATATCTTTGTATGATTATAGGAATAGATATGAAATTATACAATCTTGACAATTCACTGACTATAATGCTTATGCCCTTCCAAGAGATGATAAGGGATTAGGGAAGGGAGTAAAGGGTAAGGATACCAAGGAATTAGATTTTAACTATTGTGTTGAACTGATTGACAATATTGAAAGGGAATAAATTAGGTTACACAAGCAAAAATTGAGGGAAGTTGAAACCCTAAGCGTTTATATCGCTGCAACTTTTTAGTATTAATAGATGTTTTCCTTAATTAGTCTTTCTTGCTTTTCGTCTTGGCTTTGTTATTCAATGTTTTTTGCATTTAAAATCCCTCAAGCTCATTATTCTCATACCCAATTCACTTCTTTACAACTCGTCAAAATATATTGAAAAATAGAAAATTGGGGCTAGAAATTACTAATTATCGTGGGATGATACTTATTCACTACTTTATTACTTGCAACGACTGCTATACTTGCTGCATTCCCAACACCCACCTATCATGTGCAAAAATTCAACTTTTTATTAGAAGAATGGGGCGGCAAGGATCAAAGTCTAGACCACTTGATCATAGAGGCTCTGGCACCATATCAAAGATCAACTCACCCAAAAGTTGAAGTTGTTAGGTAAAGGCACATGAACAATTTTATATTGTATCTCTAACATATACCCAGAAAAAAGGTTTGAGACCTCACAGTTCCAAGAGTTAGAAGACTTTTATTGATATAAGATCCTTCTCTCCTTCTCATGCCAGTTGTTTCAGCTTTTGAGCTCTCAGAACCTGCTAGATCAATGAGATTCTGCATGTATAAGAAAAATATCAAAAAAAATGTAAGTAAAAAAATAGAAAAGTACAAATCATGAACATGAATTCATTACCCAAGTTAAAGCTTAGAAGTAGAGATTACATGTACAAAGCAAATGAAGTTCAACCAAAGTTTAAAATAATTACCAGTTGTGACAACGTTACTGCTTCTCCTTCACTATTTTCACCATATGGACTACTCTCTATGGTCTGTTACAAAACAGTATAAAATTAAAAAGAATAAAAGGAATATATATATATATATATATATATATATATATATATATAAAGCAATTGAACGAAACAGGTTACTCTGATGTTCCATTTTCTCATTCCTGAATTGCTTAAAAGTTGGAGAATGTTATAAGTGATGATCTAGCTGAATATTTTGGATATAGTTCTTAACACTCCCCTCCCCCACCCCCCCTTAAAACAAAAAAATAAAATAAAACAGGTCCTTTTCAATCTTAGAAAGGAAAATAAATCAATAATAAGGGGAATTCTGATGAAGAAGTTTAGGATGGGAAGATGGTCTCTGTTTATTCTGGAATTTCTCCACATTTATTCATTTGTTGGTTACAAGAACAACCAACTTACATATGTAAATGCCAAAGGTGTAAGATGCAAACACAAAAATAAATACATTAAAAAAATATGTAAAGCTAGTACATAATATAAGAAGCATGTTGTTAATCAATGAAAACAAAATGATTCTTCCTTTAAGATTGTATAAACCCACCAGGGTAAATATCGTATGGCTCCTGCTGCTGAGTAGATTGAAGTTTGTGGACCCAACATGTCGGTGCTCTGTTACCAAAATAAAATTTTGTAGAGGATAAATAAAAGGACATATTGAATAACAGAAAACAGTCGGACACATCAAGTAGAATATTGTAGGAGAACCCAATTCTCATGATCATTCACAGGACAAAAAAAAAAAGATTTTTCAATTTTTAATAACAGCCAAAAACATTATATATGCAGCTACTTTTTGAGAATATCATATTAAGATTTGTCTATTAATATGCCTGGTACTTTATTGCAGAAGCATACCCGATTTCCCAGAAGAAAGCAGCCAAACAGAGAAAAGTAAAGAGATGAGTGAGATAATTTGTTTCTCCCTCGCTCTTTATAGTAATACCCAATTTTAAAATTACGTAAACATCACTAATTAATTACAAAAGACACAAGCAGAAAACAAAATAACCCACATATATACCAAAAAATACAAAATACAAAACCCACATTAATATAGTACATCCACACCAGCAAAAATAATCCACAACAAAACAAACTTAGCTAGAACTTTTACCTTCTCCAGCGGCAATAAGGGACAGTGCATGAGCAGGGGAGAGTACAACCTCTTCCTTTATTCCATCAACAAAGGTTCCCTACATATGAATCAATACGCAAAAGACACAAGCTTTCCTTCAAAATAATTATATTTATAGAGCTTTGAATAAGTATCTCAACAACTATGTCTGACTATTGTTAACATGCAGACAGCTCAGATCGTATCATACATTCTATATGAGGAAAGAACAAGAAATAAAGCTCATGGCTCAATATACAAGAGTAGGAATTATTAAAATTAGTTGGAATGGTGTATGAGAAACAATTTTGTTAATTATTATCCAAAACATAAAAAACATCATTTTGTCTCTAGATTTAAGTTTTAGCTTTCACCCGGATTGAGAACAGAAGATTGATTTCTCCAAAACACATCTCATTGATGTTTCAACAGTAAAATCCAAGCATTGTTAATAATCATTCATGAAACAAGCACGAGTAATCATCGTTTGTAGACCAAAAGTTGTTTTATGCATCAAATGATTATTTGGCTCAATTGTCTGGGAACTTTTCCTGGGAATATTTAAGAAACGAAAAGTCTCATCTCATAAAACTTTAGTGCTCAGCATAAGCCATAAATATGCTTTAAAAGTAAACTTGACAGAAAACTGTTCACAGTGGTATTTGCCACGTATCCCTCATCCATGCTGAGTACTTAAGCTGAAGAAATGATTACAATAACATGTCAGACCAGAATAAAGAACCTAGGAAACTAACCATAAACTTTTTTAGCAGCTGAAAACAATATGACTACCCAACTTGGATCAAGTATGAATCTACCTCAAAGGTATAATCATATCTAATCATATCTATTCTAACACTCCCCCTCAAGCTGGTGGGTATATATTGTGAGCACCAAGCTTGCTACAAATGAATTCAACCCGAGGACCTCTAAGAGCTTTAGTGAAGACATCCACTAGTTGACCATTAGAGTTGACAAAAGCGGTCTTGATTTCTCCTGACTGAATCTTTTCTCGAATGAAGTGACAATCAATCTCTATATGTTTAGTTCTCTCATGAAATACAGGATTAGAGGATATATGTAGCGCAGCTTGATTATCACAAATGAGTGTCATGGGTTGTTTCTGTTCACAAAGACGAAGCTCCTGAATCAACTGCTTTAACCAGATTAACTCACATGTAGTAACTGTCATTGCACGATATTCAGCTTCTGCACTAGATCGAGCAACAACAGGTTGTTTCTTGTTCTTCCAAGAAATTAAGTTTCCTCCAAAGAAAACACAATAGCCAGAAGTAGAGCGCCTGTCTGAGGGTGATCCTGCCCAATCAGCATCTGAATAACCACAAATTTATGTATTTCCCTGATCTGAATACAACAAACATTTTCCTAGTGCTCCTTTGATGTATCGGAGGATCCTCACAGCAGCATCCCAATGAGAATCACAAGGGGAATCAAGAAACTGACTAACCGTACTAACAGCGAAAGAAATGTCTGGCCTAGTTACTGTAAGATAATTGAGCTTCCCAATTAGTCTCCGATAACGACCAGGATCAGATAACGGCTCCCCCTGTCCGGGCAATAACTTGACATTGGGATCCACGGGTGTATCAATTGGTTTACACCCCAACATACCAGTCTCTTCTAGGATATCCAAGGCATACTTCCTTTGACAGATAGAAATGCCACGTCTAGATTGTGCTACCTCAATTCCCAAGAAGTAACGCAGCTTCCCGAGGTCCTTTGTCTGAAATTGACTTAATAAATACTGTTTTAACTGACGAATTCCAGCTTGATCACTCCCGGTGAGGATGATATCATCAACATAGACTAACAAATAGATGCACTTATCAGGAGATGTGATCCTATAAAATATAGAGTGGTCAACTTTACTGCGAATTCAACCAAACTCCTGAACAGCAAAACTGAAGCGACTGAACCATGCCCGAGGAAACTGCTTGAGACCATATAAGGATTTGCGAAGACGACACACCTTCCCAGACTCCCCCTGAGTAACAAAACCAGGTGGTTGCTCCATATAAACTTCTTCTTGTAAATCACCATGAAGAAAGGCATTTTTGATGTCAAGTTGAAGGAGTGGCAAGTGACAAACAACAGCAAGAGCAAGAAATAGGCGAACTGACGCCATCTTAGCGACCGGAGAGAATGTATCGCTATAATCAAGGCCGAATATTTGAGTAAAACCCTTTGCAACTAGGCGTGCCTTGAGTCGATCAACATGGCCATCAGGTCCAACTTTCACAGTAAACACCCAGCGACAACCAACTATAGACTTCTCTAGAGGAGCATAAACAAGGTCCCAAGTGCATTGGAATGAAGTGCAGTCATCTCATCAAGCATCGCTTGGCGCCACCCTGGAAGGGAAAGTGCTTCACCTGTGGTTTTAGGAATAGAAATAGAAAAAAGACTAGAAACAAAGGTGAAATGAGGTGAAGAAATACGGTCATAGCTCAAAAAGGTATAAAAAGGATAAGGGTTACGAGTAGTACGTGTACCTTTCCTTTGAGCAATGGGAAGAGCCTCTGGTGAAGGATCCGGAGGGGAAGAAGCAACAGCAGTGGGTGATGAGTCATCAAGAGTCGAGTCGACAGGAGGCACAGGTTTGCGACGCTGATAGGTTAGAAGTGGACGCTCCGCAGGTATAGAAGCAATAGGTTGCTCATCTGGAATAGAAGCACCTGCAGCTGGCAAAGACAAGTCAAGAATAGGGACAGGAAGAACATGATCAACCTGTGACAACTGAGATGGGATAGAATTAAAGGGTTGTTGATCAAGAAAAGTGACATCAACGGAAACTAAGTAACGCTTAAGATCGGAAGAATAACAACGATAACCCTTTTGAAGACGAGAATAACCAAGAAAAATACATTTAAAAACTTTGGATGTTAACTTGTCCTTACCAGGGGTGAGATCATGAACAAAACAGGTACAACCAAAGACATGTGGGGATAGAGGATAGAGAGGGGCATCTGGAAGCAATAAGTTATAAGGAATGTCATTATCAAACACAGATGAAGGCATACGGTTGATGAGAAAAGAAGAGGCAAGGACTGCATCGGCCCAGAAGTGAAGATGAACATGCATGTGAATAAGAAGATTCTGTGCAGTCTCAATGAGATGTCTATTCTTACGTTCAGCTACTCCATTTTGTTGTGAAGTGTGAGGACAAGTAGTTTGGTGTAAAGTACCTTGTTTGGCTAAGAAATTAGAAAAGTCCACAGAAACATATTCCTTAGCATTATCACTATGTAAAATACGAATAGAGGCACCAAATTGAGTATGAATTTCAGCAGGAAATTTTTGATAAATAGAAAACAACTCAGAACGGTTTTTCATTAAATAAATCCAAGTACAACGTGAAAAATCATCAATAAAGGTAACAAAATACCGAAAACCTACAACAGACACACTACGACTAGGACCCCAAATATCTGAATGAATAAGTGAAAAAGGAGCATCAGCTCGTTTATTGACTCGATTAGCAAAGGAGGAGCGTATGTACTTTCCTTGCTGACATGACTGACAATCTAAAGTCTGAAGACCGGACAAAAGAGGAACCATCTTCTGTAATTTGGAAAGAATAGGATGCCCGAGGCGACTGTGGATGAGTTGTGGAGATTCTGTGAGAGGACAAGCAACGGAAGGACTCGGCACAACCAGGTAGAACAGACCCCGTGACTCACGACCCACTCCAATCGTCTTCCCCGTACCCGGGTCCTGCACAGAAACAGAATGATTTGAGAAGGTGACAATACAGTTAAGAGAGTTGATTAATTTACTAACAGATATTAAATTGTAAGGGATGTTAGGAATGTAATAGATAGATGTTAAGGTCAATGAGGAGGTTGGACAGATTTGTCCAATTCCATGAACAGGAGCCTTAGTGCCATTAGCAAGGGTAAAAGAGGGTAAATTATCATAATATGTAAGGGATGAAAAGAGTTCCTTATTACCACAGAGGCGATCAGTAGCACCTGAGTCAAATATCCAAGGGCCAAGTGATGCAGAATGAGAAACACAAGCAACGGGATTACCAGTTTCTGAAGCAGAGGCCTGAGACTGAGGAGAGACCTTCCTGAGAAGGGTTTGGAATACTGCATAGTCTTCAGAGGAGAGAGAGACTGTACCATTTGAAGCAGAATCCGATTGAGCTATATTAGCAGCATGAGAAGGTCGCAGGTGAGGATACTTTGTGTAGCAACGTTCCTCATAATGACCAAGTTGTTGACAATAATGTCAACGAGGTCGCTGACCACGTCCTCCTGGGCCACGTCCTTCCTGGCCTCTACCACGACCACGTCCACCTCCAATGTTCCCGCGAAAGTCAGTATTCTCGCGAAAGTCAGTACGGGAAACTAGAGCAGTGGAATCAACAACAGCAGACGATGCAGGAGCAGATTTCTTGTTAAGATTCAGAAGACGCTGATACGTCATTGATAGATCAGGCTCCCCACTAGTCAAGATAGTATCCCGGACATTATTATATTCTTCGGGGAGACCAGACAGTGTGGCAACCATAAAGAGACGTTCCACCTGTTTCCGATATGCAGAAGCATCAGAAGGGTAAGGTAACATATCCAAATATGCCTGCATCAAAGATCGACTTTTGCCAACATATGTCTCCATCTGAATGTCGGATGATTTGCTCAGTTCCATAAACTTAGAGATGATGAAATAGAGCTGCTGAACATCATTAGTGTAGAGGTTTTTAGCTTCCTCCCACACTTCAGTAGAAGTTTGAAAGGAGTAGAAGATGTCCAAGACAACTGGATCAATAGACTGCCAAAGGATACTCAGAAGCTGGTTGTCAATCTTTTCCCAATCAGATTTTTCTTCCTTAGGAACATCAGTAGATTTAGTCGTGAGATGGTTCCCATGTCCCTGTCCAAAGAACCAAACTCGAACAAAGGTGGCCCAGTTCTTGTAATTAACCGAACCCTTCAACTTTGAAGAGGTAATGGACCCAACATTGGTGGAGATGATATTGGGAGAATTTTTGACAGGAGGAGGTGGAGAACTGACCTCCGAATGAACAGGAGAATTTGCTGCCATTATATTAAATCACAAAGATATAAACCGAGTAAATAGGAACGAACCTGATCACCGATCAAGAAGAGGCGCGCACAAAAAGTCAGACCCACAAAGAACCAACCACAGATTCGGAAAGAGGAGGAGAAGGCGAGCTTATCTGTCCAAGACCGGCCGGAAAAAGGTGCCGGAACAGTGCACACGCGCCGGCAGAAGGTGGCGCGTGAGGCCCACGCGCAGAGGGGTTGGGCGGCGCGTGACGGCGCGTGCGAGCTCCGATGGTGGCCGGACTTCCACAGACTTGGTCGCCGGGAGGAGAGGGTTCTGATCGCGTATGGTCCGGGCTGAAAACTCGCCGGAAAACTTCTCCGGCGGCCTGAACAGTGGCGGACGGTGGTTACCGTGACCGTAAGAAGTGCTGAAGCGTTCGGAAATTACCCAGAAGGGACTTACAGCCCTTGATGACTTGCCGGAAGGACGCACGGCAAAGAAAAGATGACTCCTAAGCAGTGGGCTTAGGTTTTAAAGCGAAAACAAGGTTTTAAGCGGAAGCGAGGGTCCCCAGAACAAAAGAGCTCTGATACCAACTTGAATATAAAATAATATGTTGTGTATTAATCTGATACAAAGAGTTACAATATATAGAGACCCTAATGGGCTTAAGTGAGTAGCCCAGAACTAATTACAAAGGAATAAGGAAGTAATCTAATTGTATCTAATCATATCTATTCTAACAAGAAAAAAGGAAAGAAAAGTTATGATCGGTACCTGAGCATCCTCTCTGATTCTTAAGTTCTGTCCCGCTGGATTTAATAAGTCATTAACCACCTAAAATAAAATGAATTTTTGAGAATAACAGTGTGAAGAACAAAGCAGCATAAACCAAATTTCTCTTCATGCAGAGAGTTCAGAGGTAAATAGCTAAGTTTGTGGAAGACAATATCAGCATGAATATAGCATCACAAGAAACAATCTAGATTGCAGGAAGAAGCCCACCTCATTGTAGATTTCCAGGTATGAAACTCGAAGGAGAAACTCTCTGTTTGGAGTCTGGTGTGCAGAAACATCAGAGTATGTAATTCCTATATTAAAAAGTGTTACAAACAGACTGGTTTTTAACATACCTCTTGGATAATGCTAAAAGCATCCTTCACAGCAAGAGGTATGATTCCAGGAGACCTTTGATCACCCTGCAAATATTAACTTATCAGCAAGAGATTTGATATGAGCTTATGAGCATATAATGTCACATTAACTACCTGAATTCATAGCTGAACTGAACACAGCAATTGTTACAGTAACAGAGTATTAATTAATTTGTTGATGATGCAGCATGACAAAGTAAGTAGCAGAGAAGGAATGCAAAGCTTAACAATGGTCTCCAGTCATATAAACAACTGATAAAAAGCGAGCATGGGCATAAAGCCTTAAACTTGTTTGGCGCATATATATAATACAGCACTAGCTAATCTATGTTCAAGGCCATCTATACAAATCAAAGATTGGCAAGTTACAGTTTTAAACGTGTTAGAGAATAATATAAACCATTAAAGAGGCCCTCACCCAATAACTTAAGCTGTTGGTGAGGTTACATTAATGATTTTATATATCTCAACACGCCCCCTCACACAAGAGCCCACTGGGCTTGAAGGGTGGACAATGCACAGGCCCACCTACCAGTGCGAACAAAGAAATTCCACTAGAAAGAAAGTGGGGGGCGGTGAGGATCAAACCCGGTACATCGAGGCTCTGATATCATGTTAGAGAATAATATAAACCATTAAAGATGCCCTCACCCAATAGCTTAAGCTGTTGGGTGAGGTTACATTAATGATTTTATATATCTCAACAGAACGAATCCATTTTAGACTTACACAAGCTGTGCAGATTTTGATCGAGTATAATATAACAATTAGCTAGCTAACAAAATTAGCTGCTTCAAATATACTAGTTAACATGTTAAGAATCAAAAGACAACACAAATACTTCTTGCGCATTTATACATTTATCAGAGGGGAAAGGAAGTGTTAGATATTCTATATAACAACTTAAAATTACCAAAATTCAAGACAACAAGGAACCAACTAGACAATACAACAAATACTGGAAATTTTACTTAACAGCAAGAGGTAGAACCATTATGACTCAAAATAAGACCAGAAATTAGAGCAAGTACTGAAAGCAATTCCTCCTGTTATCAAGTGTACTTTGTGTATGTATTCACAAAAAAATCAATTGAAACTCACAACAACGATGTCTGAAGATATATTCCATAAAAATAGAGTACAATTACAATTAGGTACCATCAAATCAACCTTGACAATGCATGACTAGCAGAGTTTTCAAAGAAAACAAGGAGTAGAATAGAGGCTAGCATGAAAGAGAAAGGTTTAGAGCTTTTGAAAGTTAAAACATATCCTGTATCCAGTGGCAATTTTTGACAATTTTAAGTTAGAAAAACCCACTGATATGAACAATTTTAAATTAAATCTAATTCTAATGATCAGAAAGAGGTTATGTTATCCTGTAATTTTATATATTTCATAATATGCCAAGGCTAAAAGTTGTAACTGCAGCTAAAACCGAATAAAGTTGCAAGTCTATTGAGATACTTCATCACGGAACTAAATTTACGTATCCGAAAAAAATCATTAACTCAACAAGGAGAAACAAGTCAACAACCAACCCATCAATAATATATCAGAAACAAGAATGGCAAGTATCTCAAAGGTCCAGGATTGCTCTTTTGTGAATTGAGTGTGGTTTAATCACCTTAAGTATCGTAAAATTGAAAGACATTAAAAAGCATATACATAGGTAAATTTATCATAAATACAGATCAACAAGATGAAAGTAGAAAATAAGTATGGTCTCACATGCATTGTATGAGTCTTCCCACTGCTTGTTACCCCATATGCAAATATTGTACCTGTATAAAACCAGTGAGGAGTTCATTTGTTAATTACTCAATATGCCAGGTATGCAAGTGAAAAAACAATCTAGGAGTTCCTCAGCCAAATCGGTCTCCAATTCATGCACAGTGACTTTTTATTGAAACAGTCACCTTCAAGATGAGAACAACAACAATACCTTTATTCAAACTAGTTGGGATGGGACCCATACAAAAGCAAGAACAAATTAAGAAAAAAAATTATTATTAAATAATAAATACTAAAAAGATATATATATATATATATATTAATAAATATTAAATAAATAAAAATCATAGAAAGTTTAAAAATTAAAAATTGATTTTTTTTGTTCTTTTTGTTTTTTTGTTTTTACAACCTTCAAGAAGAAAAAAAGAGAGCTAAAAATGAATAAGTTCCTATATCAAGGAAATTACACGACTACCACCCATATGAGAAATGAGATGTGAATCTCGCAAAATTTCCATGGTCTGAATCAAGAAGTTACCTTAGTTTCTTTTCCATGAATTCTACAAAGGTCCAAACCTACTGGTTACTATATACAAAGGTGTTATGTGAACTGATTGCCAAGATGTCAAATCTCAAGCCTCTAAGGGTTAAATCATGATCTGACTACCAACCTAAGCAAACATGTTGTTTGCAATCTTATTTTATCAACAATTATAAGAGGAATGATCAACAAAGCTAAAAGCATATGACTTCTAGGAAAAAGGATCAAAATTGTATGCATGGCATGGAAGTCCATCAGAAATCTTTTCAAAAGGTTTTCAATACCATAATGGCATAAATAGGTCTGATTTTGTCTTGTTTGATAAGCAAAATCTGGATATCTTTGACTACAAATGTATTACTCTAAAATCTTTTGATGTAACGACCAAAGTCAAAATAAAAGTTTCAATTTTCAATGAACATTAGTATCCAACTAAGAGCTGATCAGCCACATCAAACTATACTAATCATATTACAAATACCTAACTGGTTAACATAAGACTTAGATTTAGTATTATTTCAATTTCCAAATCATATATCCAAAGCGATTTGTAATTTTGTATATTAAGGAAAAAGAAAGGATGATTAAATTAAAGCAAGAATATATGGTATTCTTTGACCTAGAACAATGGGTAAGTAGTAAGTTCAATCTATTGATTACCATTGATGCCCTCCATAGAACCACTAACAACATGCTGAGCAGCAACATCATAGACATGACGAGTTGTGGTTGTGGGACCAAAGACACGATCTAAAAACAAGAAAAAGAAAATTAATAATTTAATGGACAAAATTGACAAATGAGAGAGGGGGAGGGAAAACTATGTATTGAGAATGAAATGCACATGTTAATCGATTTGATTTGTGATAATTGCACAATTTCATGACATGTAAAATCTTTTTACTTCAGATAGGATCCCGAAAGCTTTGGAGTATCATTACTCTTCTTCAAACATCACTACTCTGCCTATGTCATAAACATTAGGTGAAAATATTAAAGAAGACCTAGCAGTGACTGGTTTAGAGAAGTTTTGGTTTTTGTTAGATAAAGCCCAATGGCTAATATTTATACATGTTGACCCACTTAGCAGCATACCGCTTGATTGTTATTGTTTATGTTGTTGGCTTGAAAATTAACATAACAAAGAGTGGGATGCCAGAATTAACATAGACATTACCCTAATAATTGGCTGGATGCCAACTGCCAAGTCCTCAAATGGCCTTTTCTTAGTGAGGCATCCTTCTGTGTTAAGATCCTTGAGTGGCTTCATTTTGGGGCACCATGATCCAAAAGATCTGTGAAAGATGGGAAAATGGGAAAGGAACATGTTTTTGTTTAAATCAGATTATGCTGATTCAGGCTTGTATGTCTAGCATGTCTTTATCAGAACTCCAGTGGGGACTAATCAGAGGTCTGAGAAGATTCAAAGATATTTCTTTTTATCAGGTGTAGGAAATAAAAGAATGATCATTTGGTCAGGTGGGAAATCTGTTGTAGGCCCAAAAGGAAGGGAGATTGGGTCTTGGAAATTTGATATCCAAACACATTGCTTTGATTAGTAAATAGTTATGATATGTCCCTCGAGACTTCCTCCTGGTGGCTTCTGGTTATAAATAGCGTATATGGTTTACATTAGAATAGGTTTCCAAATTGCCAATCCAGAGCATCTCATTTCAAGTCCTTGGAAATTCAATTCTGATGAATATTTCTTATTTTGTTTGGACCACTACCTCCCTTAGATGTATGTGATGGTAAATGCATTAAACGTTCCGACAATGTACGGGTAGGGATATTTTTCTTCAAAAGTTTTTCCTTGCCTCCGGTAGTTTTTCATTGCATCAATCCCCCATCATCAATTTTTAAATTAATTACGGTGCCAACTTTTCTTGGATTTCCCATTTATCTAGGATTCTGTATGACATAGTTTGGGACTGGAGTCCCTTTCAGTTTAATTTGTAGATCCTTCTTCCAATTTCTCACTCATTTTCCAAATACAAAATATTTCCTTGAGAAACTGTTTGGAATCCAAAACTCTCTATAAGGTCCAGTTTTTTTGTTTGGCAGCTGTGCTCAACAAGATTAATTCCAATTATAAGCAGCAGGCCCCGTACACCTAACAAGGGCTAATCACATAATGTTCTAATTAGAAACAGTCGCACATATGTTTCTACATTGTCCAGCAGCAAGCTACATTTAGAGGGAGCCTTGCGTTTAGAGTATTAGGTGATCCTTGGCTATGCCCTCAAAACATGGAGCATTTTCTGATGACTACTTTCAAAGGTTTCAGAAGCAGCAAGGAGGGAAATGTTATTTGGCAGAGAGCTATGCTCACTGTACTTTGGTACCTTTGGCTAAAAAGGAAAGCTCTGATTGCTAAAAAGAATGTCTCTTTCCGAGTCATGCATTGGGACGAGAATTTTTACTTTGGCCACTCTTGGGTGTTCGGCACATTTCCTAGATTTGTACAGGGACGGAAGAGCTATTTTGTGTTAATAGTTGCTTTGTTTCAGTTTGATGACTGCCTTTCTTAGTAGTTTAATCTTAGGTGGATTCCTTCTAACACAAGTTTCTTTCATTAACTCCCTTCCCCTCCCCACAAAAAAAAAGTTAAATAAATAAGAAGCTTCTCGTTTTGACTTCATCAATGAAATCACTATGAAAGTGATAATTTCTTCATTTTTTGTAGCTATCATCACCATGTGTATGTTGTACATTCAACCTCAAAAGCACTATATTCATAATATATGCTTCTAAATGTAAACAAATGAATAAATGTAAACAACAAAAATCCTATCCATAAATGTCAGTGTTGCATAGTATACCGTATGCATATGCTATGGACGGGTTGTACTCATTTCGCACTATAGTTTCTCCATCTGCATACCAAGCAATCTCCTCTCCTTGACGAATTTCCCTTGGACTGTTCCACGCATAGACCTCAGTCAAATTAACAGGTATCTGCAGAACACAGTCACAACAACTATATATGATTCGGAAAAAAGCAACACTTACTTCAGAGGCCGAAACCTGACTGTCACAGTAACATTTTCTTTGGCTCTTTGTACATCTGAAGACACAGTTTCTGGATAAATATACTGCGGCTTACTCCGAGCTGATGATGATGCAGGCGAGCACTGACCATCAACCGATGTTTCCAGAAACTGTTTAGAAGATGATGTGGTCGAAGACGAAGCCGAATTAACAGCTTTTAAGCCACTCGATCCGAATCTTTTCGATTTTACACCTTGTTTCGATGCCATTCGCACTTCCACTCAAGTCTTCAACAATCAACACAACAAATTAGGTTTAAAAAAAAAAAGTTAAGTATCATCTCAATTCCGAATTAAACGCATATGATTGCAAATTTGTTGGAGTAACAGATAAATAAGAAAAACAATAGTTCGCGAGCCTCATGAGCTGATTGAAAATTCACAGAAGAAACAAACGTACAAAGCGAGAAAAAAGGAGAGGCGTTGTTATGTAATTAAATGCATGAAAACAAAGAGGAAAAGGAAAGCAAAAGGTGAATTGCTTCGGTCAATGTTTTGAATGCATAGGGATTAGCGTAACAAGAAGATAAGATAAGAATGGAAAAATTGACCTGAAAAAAAAAAAAAAAAAGGAATCAGAGGCGCATTGTAGAGTAAGGTAGGAGATCGCGTTGGATAGGAAGACACAGATCCAAAAGAGAAAGGAAAGTGTGAGGGAGTGGGAATCAGAGTTAGTCAGAGAGTACAGTCAGTGAAGAAAAAAAGAGCACATCATCTTCAGCAGCAACATTGCATCAATAACAGTGAAGAGAGAGAAAGAGGAAGTTGAGAAAGGTTAGAGGAGGTCATTAACTTGCCTTGGAAGCGATGGCGATTGAATGCTCTTCATCAACAAAAGTAATTTTTTTATTTTTATTTTTCAATCCAACTTTTATTAATAATTTTTTAGTGGAAAGGACTGTGTCGTGTCTTGTGGTAGGAATTGGTACAAACAAGACAGAAAAACGAGAGTTGTGGGTCTAGCGTCCAGCGTTTTCTTTTTCACGAATCTCAGTTTCTCTGCATCTATTAATCTTCTTTAATTTTGTTTTTCTTTTTTAGCGCGCAAGAAAAAAAATTAAATTCAAATATAAAAATGTAAGTGTTTGAAATTTTAATTTTAAAATTATTTTAATTAATAGAAGATTATGTTATTGATAATTTATAAATATTTCATTATATTTAATTTTAATTGAACAAATTAAAAAAATTTCTTTTAAATGAATGACTAATTAAAAAGAAAAATATTAATTTAATTTTATATGAAAACTGAAAAAGATATATATACTTAGAAAGGAAGAAAATATGTGACCACGGAAAAAAGAAATAATACATAAACATTATCACTTATTAAAATATTGAAGACTTTACGAGTAGATTACTAGATTAAGTATTTCCTAGTACACAACCAATAAAAATGGGACACGTGTCAATGAGACCTATTAATTAGGCTCGCTTTCATTGCACAGACAAATTTTTTCTTCTTGTTTGGTGATAGGGAATAGGTGTTACTCTTATTAGTCGTTATTAACTAGCATAGATTTTTTTTAAGTATGTTATTATTCTTGTCTTTTACCGTATTTTCTATCAGTTTGAATGGCCAAAAACACACATTTTTAAATATTCACGGGTATGATTTTTTATTTTTTATTTTGTACAGATTTCGATTCACGGGTATGATTTTCGTCTTCTTTTCTTCTTCTTTTTTTTAAAAAATATATTTTTTTTATTTTTATTTTTTTAAGTGTATGACTAATTTTCAAATGCTTGAATATTTACAAAAAAAAATGCTTGAATATTTACAACACTATAGAAATTTTCAAATATAAAATTAATAATTCCTTCAAAATATTCTATTTTACAGTAAGTAAAAGCATATTGACACTTTCGTATGATAATGAAATATTATTGATATACCTTTTTTGGTTTGATTAGTCGATTTATAACAGAAAAGGAAATGTGACCAAATGATTAAGATGAATACAGCGAAGATCAGTTCGATCTGCAATTCTTTATTACGTCGTATATGGACACATTGTCCACTAAATTCGATTGTTATGTTCTTATACGATGGATATGGATGGATATGGACAGTTGCTCTTAAGTCAAAGGACACCTTAATTATGTATTCATTAGCTATATAAATAACTATCGTTATCCTATGTCCTTTAATATATGAAGTTAATTAATTTAAAAAATATATATTACATCTAAATGGACCGATTGATCCATCCACGCGTCATATTTAAAGTTCACACGCAGTACAATATTTTAGTATATTATAAAGTTAGAGAATTAGCTTAACTTTTTTTTAAACCCTTATATTTAAATTCGAAGTTATATGATTATTAGAAAGATTATGTTAATCAGGTAAGCTAACTTCCTATGAGAGTTAACCTATCTAGATAAATAATTAAATATGAAAATTAAAATCATAAAAAATGAAATATTAAATTTCTAAAAATAATAAATAAAATAATTTTCAATTAAAGCAAGTAAAACTTATATGTAGAGCCTGTTTGGATCCTCTCTTTTTTAAGCTAGAAACTATTTATAAGCTAAAGATTAAAGAAAGACTAAAAGCTGTTTGTTAATTACATAAAAATTTTAGTTTAAAAACACATATTTCAATAAAACTATTTCTTTCTATCTTTATAGCTCTTCATTTTTTTTAAAAAGCACACAATTTAAGAAAAGTAGATAAAAGCTTTAAAAAAACTCATCATAGGAGCTTTTAGCTTTTAACTTTTTTCTTCATTATAAAAAAAAAGAGTTTTTCATTGTAGAAGCTTTTATTAAAATATGTTTTACCTAACTTATGCTTATAAATAACTTCTAACTTAATAAAAAAAAAAAAAAAAACATCCAAACATGTACTTAGTCTAATTAGATGGCCTTCTCTTATTACAATCACGTATCTATCATTTTGGTTTGTCTTAAAACCAAAAAATTGCTCAATTGTTCTTATATTTGAGTCTCACGTACGACTTTCTAACGAGGGTAGGGTAATTTTTATGGGAAAGTCAAGTATCATGTTATAGGAAAACAGTATTATTTTTCTACAAATACACAAAAGCACATGGATCCCACTTTTTTTATTTTCTCTCACCACTCTTTTCTCTCTCCTCTCTATGTTTGTGTGTGTAGGAAAGGGGTACTATTTTCCTACAACACGAGGAAAACAAACCCTAATTTTTATACAGAATAATATTTTTGCATTAATGCAGATAAGTTATCTGCATTTATTCACAAAATAACGTCATTTTGGAATTCAAAAATTAAATAATTATAATTATAAATACTATAATAATCCTGAAATAAATTAAAATTACAAAAATACCATGATTTCCGTCCAAAACGACGTCGTATTAGGCTTACTGCAGATAACTTATCTGCAGTAACTGCAGAAAAAGAGAACCTATTTTTATATGCTAATAATGAAGTAAAAATGTGTTATTCTTTGAAATGATTTATTCAAAACATGTTATCAATTAAAAGAGATTGGACATGAATTCATTATTCAAGAAAGAGGTTTACGTCTTTGTTTATTTAATAATAGAGTAAATACCTTTTTTAGTCCCTGGCAATATCCACGAAGGCCTTTTCAGTCCTTGACAATAAAAAGGGGACAAATTGGTCCCTAAAATAACAAAAAAGGGGGCCACGTTGGTCCTTCTGTTAACTCCACCGTAACGGCTAAACTAACGGTGCCCATGTGGCACGTTAGTGTGATGACGCGGCTTGGACGTTTGACAGCATGGATGAAGAGACGACGACATTTTGTTGCAAATGGGTTGAGAAGCTTTCCAAAGTAGCTTACGACGTCGTTTCTTGGTTTTTGCAGGAAAAGAAAAAGAACACAGTTCTCTTGCTTTTGTTTCTGATCTTCAAGAATCCCTTCTTAACCTTGTGATTTTTCAAACTATAGCTGCATGGGTGTTAGCGTTCCTCTCCAATAACAAAATATATTTAACTATCTGGTAAATTTGATTGTTTTCTTAAATCCATCTGTTATGTTTACATGACGTTTCCTGCCAATTCCTGCTGGGACTCCGACAAGCCAAAAGCATACTCAGGTGCAATAGTCAACGATGCAACCTCACCCTTCTTCATGGTCAACACAGCTCTGTCAAGCCCATCAATTACTTGCTCTGTTCAACACATCAAACATTAGTTGTAGTTAGCATAAAAATAAATTTATGGAAGGTGGGAAGAAACATTGGGACGTTTCCTATTACCTTCATATGTTTTGAATTCAAACAGCTGCCCTTCATCATCATGGCCCTTCTTCAGAAAGAGAGTACCATCTTGCAGCTTACCAATTAGTTTCACTGCAAAGATGAAAAAGGAGGAAGAAAATACCAAAAACACATTCTAGGTCCATTAACAAAGCAAAAATCATCATTCACATTAATGAGCATTACATTTCACAATGGCTCCCTCATTTGGACGCTCATATCCACGAAGTTATTAAAGGATGGGATTAAGGTATTAAAACCATGAAGAAAGGTGAAAATGCCATTTTCACCATCCCACCTGAGCTAGCTTATGGTAAATCTGACTCTCCAATTGATGTTGAGCTTCTGTCTTAGACTAGTGTGAAGGACATATGTAAGGATAAAGGTTTGTTTAAGAAGATACTTACTGAGGGGGAGAAATGGGAGAATCCCAAGGATCCTGATGAGGTCTTAGGTATACATGTTTCTTACATATATCCTTGATATTTTATCGCTGTATTATTTAACTTAGTCTTAACTATAAACTGTACTCTTGGTGTTGCAGTTAAGTATGAAGCACGTCTTGATGATGGAACACTTGTAACGAAATCTGATGGAGTGGAGTTCACAGTTAAAGAAGGTCAGTGCCTACAAATTTTGTTAATCTCTTATTCTAATTTTGCTTTTGTGTGGTATCTTACATTAATGTTTTACTCTATGATAGGTCATTTTTGTCCTGCTTTGTCAAAGGCTGTTAAAACCATGAAGAAGGGAGAGAGAGTTATTTTGACTGTGAAGCCACAATGTAAGTTATCTACATAATGCTTTAGTAAATGGTGATATGAATTTTTTATTTTTTATTTTATTTTTTGGAAAACTATATGACAAGTAATATTGATATTATCTCCATTTACTCTTTTAGTTCAAAGTTTCATGCATTTCTTTGTTGGTTTATAGATGGATTTGGTGAGAAGGGTAAACCAGCGCATAGTGACAAAGGTGTAGTTCCACCAAATGCAACACTGCAAATTAAGCTCGAGTTCGTTTCTTGGAAGACAGTGTCAGACGTAACTGATGACAAGGTTATTTTGTTATTGGATTTAAGAAAACGATCAAATTTACCAGATGGTTAAAGATATTTTGTTATTGGAGAGGAACGCTAACACCTATGCAGCTATAGTTTGAAAAATCACAAGGTTAAGAAGGGATTCTTGAAGATCATAAACAAAAGCAAGATAATTGTGTTCTTTTTCTTTTCTTGCAAAAACCAAGAAATGACGTCGTAAGCTACTTTGGAAAGCTTTTCAACTCATTTGCAACAAAACGTCGTCGTCTCTTCATCCATGCTATCAAACGTCCAAGCTGCGTCATCACACTAACGTGCCACATGGGCACCGTTAGTTGAGCCGTTACGGAGGAGTTAACAGAAGGACTAACGTGGCTCTTTTTTTTGTTATTTTATGGACTAATTTGTCCCTTTTTTTATTGCCAGGGACTGAAAACGCCTTCGTGGATATTGCCAGAGACTAAAAAGGGTATTTACTCTTAATAATACTTTACAAGAGAACCGAATCGATAACAGGAAAATAATTATAAATAAATAAATCCTCCATTATTAAAAAAATGAAGTCCAATTCATCAAAGGACCAATCTTGAAATCATAAACTAAATTTCGATAAATCTCAATCAAAGAGAAATTTTCCTTATGATATCGAACTACTCTCTCTCTCTCTATATATATATATATATATATATATATATATATATATATATATAGGCAGGATCCTTTGACACCGGTGTCAAATTTGAAATTTGACACCTCATCTCAGAGCCGTTAGATCCAAAAAGATCAACGACTCTGATTTGTAAGCATATGACACCATAGATCTTTTAGGATCTAACGGCTCTCAGACGAGGTGTCAAACTTCAAAATTGACACCGGTGTCAAAAGATCCTACCTCATATATATATATATATATATATATATATATATAACTAAGGATATTCTAACTACTAACATTTTTTACTACTAACTTACTACCCATCACATCACCATTGGATCAAAGAGAGAGAGAATGTTAAAAAGTTTTTGAAGAGAGAGAAAATGTTAATCTAACGGTTGGTAGTGAAAAATTTTGGTAGTGAGAATATCCTTCCTCTATATATATATATATATATATATATATATATATATATATATATATATATATATATATATATATATTATGAAGAAAAAAACATGATATGGTCATGTGAGAATATCATAATTATACAAAGATAAATCAACAGTTATGATTTTGTAACTACTTATTTTAACCCTTTTTTTCTCTCCTCCTTTATTACTATTGATCTATCTTTGTATGATTATGATTTCCTACATGACATGGTCTTGTGATTTTTCACATGAGAGTATCCAAATCCATATATTGGGTTTTTCCTCCTTAAATGTTATCAAGGCTCAATGTTGGTGAATGGGGCTCAAGAAACTCAAAGAAATTAGGGCTCAAGTAACCCTAATTCACACTTTTGATATTCTAAAATCTTCTCTCCTCTCTTATATAAGCTTGTATTATGTGAGAGGTTAAAGTTAGATATTTTGACATTTTGAAACAATGTTATTAAACCCGGTCGAGGTACTGAGTCAGTGGTTCAACCAGTGGGTCACTGGTTCAACCGCATGACCCGATAAGTATATGTAAATCTACAATTTATATTAAAAAAACTATAAATATACTTAAATACTTGTAAAAAAATATATCAATTCAAATATTTTAATATGAAAATAATAAATTACACATCATGTTGTCCAACAAAAGATCAATCAAACATATAATATTTGCGATACTAGTATTTTAGGTTCAGTAAACGACATCTCTAACTATAAATCAAATCAAAATTTCATGCATATTGCATAATCAAGATAATATTAGTGTTGTAGGTACATAATCTATGTAAGTTAATAAGTTACGAATCACTCAAATATTTTAAAAGAAAACAAATCATTTGTGTTTGAGAGTAAAAAAATAGAAGACATTAGTTTATGAAAATAAATTAGTTTTTTTTTATATAGACCGGGCCGGGTCACCAGTTGAACCGACCGAGTCACCGGTTTTTACGAAAACCGGTCGGGTCGACCAGGTCACACTGGTTCTGTAACATGGCCGGTTCAATATGAAAACCGGACCGGTTACATGATCGGTTCACCGGTTTCCAGGTCGACCCGGCCGGGTCGGTCCGATTTTTATAACATTGTTTTGAAAACAATTTTGAGAGAACATTTAAAGAGAAGCTTGAATGTTAAACCTCCTTAGGGAAGTTTGAGAGAATATCACAATTGTAGGCGAGGTTTGAGTGTATCACCATTATTGGTGAAGTTTGATATCTTGTACCCATTATTTTCATAGCGAAAGTTTGATTCTGGACTAGTGTCCCGTGGATTTTTACTTCTTCACATTGGAGAAGGTTTTTCCACGTTAAAAGTTTTCTATGTTTACCTATTTCTTTCTCCTTCTGCGTTTTTCGTTTCTGCTGCACTGGCTGACCTGGTGACTCAGGTTGACCTCTGATTGTACTGAACTCATAGCTCGACGTTTAACATCTGCAAAGGCTTTTGCATCGACATTGAGGGACCGAGTTCGTCCCAACAGTGGTATCAGAGCCCGAGTTCAATGGGTTCTAAAGGAGACGAGATGAAGACTAGTGGTGTAGCCCATAACGGCAACATGTTCAAGCTGACCGCAAACAACTTTACTTATTGAAGACCGATGATGGAAGACCACCTGTACTGCAAGGACATATATGAGTCCATCGTCCATGAAGAGAAGCTTGAAGGCAAGACCGAGAAGGAGTGAGAGATCCTGAATAAGAAGGCGGTGGCCATGATCAGAAAATACATTGATAAAAGCCTTTTTGAGCATGTTTCACGAACGCGTACGAGTTATGGACGAAGTTGGAGTTCATGATTCAAAAGAAGACTCTCAGGAACAAAGCACACCTAGTTCGTCGACTTGTGAAACTGGAATCCAAGAATGACATAAGCATAATTGAACACCTCAACACCTACAAAGGTATTGTGAATCAATTGTCTAAAGCCGAGATGAAGATAGATGACTGGATGCAGGCATTGCTGCTACTGAGCTTGTTGCCAGAAAGTTGGGATGCTCTGATATTGACATTGAGTGACTCGGCTCTAGATGGAAAATTAAAGATAGACACCGTGACAGACAGTCTCCTGAATGAGGAATCCAAGATAAGGGAGCGAGGTGTAACTAACATATCTAAGGGAAATGTGACCAATAATAGAGGAAGGTCTGAAACCCAGGCTCGTAGCAAGAGTCGGGGTCGTGATAGACGTGATAAATCCAGAGCTCGGTCTTGGCCAAAATATGAATTGAAATTCTCGGTGAAGATAATTTTTTGAATGTTGGATATGATGACTGCACCTGGATTGTTGATTTGGTGCCTCCTTTCACGTCACTCCACACAAAGATTTTTTCTCCTTATATAGAGGTTGTGATTTTGGAGTCTTGAAGATGGGAAATCAAGTGACGAGTAAGATTATTGGTGTCGGTGATGTAACCCTGACCACGGATGTCAGACGCCAACTTGTGTTGAATGATGTAAGGCATGTGCCTGACATGCGTTTGAGCTTAATCTAGGTTGGCAAGCTTGACGATGTCGGGTTAGTAAACTACTTCAGAATTGGTAGATGGAAATTGGCCAAGGAAAATTTGGTGGTTACCCGAGGTAAGAAATAAGGCTCCTTGTACGTGATGCAAAGAAAGATAAATGGTGGAGAAGTCAATTCTATCCGAGATGCACCTAGTATGGAGTTATGGCATAAACACCTTGGCCATATGAGTGAGAAAGGGCTCCAAATTTGGAATAAGCAATGATCATTAATCAGGTTGAAGGGCCAAGTGTTGGAGAGTTGCACACATTGTCTAGCTGGAAAGCAGCATCGAGTTTCTTTTGTGAGACCGGATCAACCCAGACGATACAGGTACATTCTTTACCTCGTCCATACTGATGTATGTTTCATGTCGGAGAGATCCCTTGGTGGAGCTTAGTATTTTATTTGTTTTATTGATGATCATTCCCTCAAAGTGTATGTGTGTAGTTGAAATCTAAAGACCAGGTACTCCAAGCCTTCACAGAATTTCATGCTATGGTGGAAAGGGAGACTGACAATAAGCTGAAAGTGGTCCGATCTGACAATGGTGGTGAGTATTGCGGCCTATTTAATGCATATTGTAGAGCGTCGGGATCCGACTTGAGAAGACTCCTCAACTGAATGGAGTTGGTGAAAGGATGATCAGGACTATTGAAGAAAGGGTCTGAAGCATGGTATCACATGCTGGATTGGCTAAATCTTTTTGGGGCGAAGCTATTAGAACTGTTGTTTACTTAATAAACCTCTCACCATCACGACCAATAAAAGGAGAAATTCCTAAAGAAGTATGGACAAGTCAGAAAGTAGCGTATGATCACCTTAAGGTATTTAGATGTCGAGCTTTCATGCATGTTCCTAAAGATGAAAGGGTGAAGCTTGATGCAAAGACTAAAGAATGTATTTACTTCAGTTTTTCGAGATGTGAGTTCGAGTTCCGACTTTGGGATCCAATCAATAAGAAAATAGTGAGAAACCGAGATATTATCTTTCATGAGACTATTCAAGACATCTCGAATCCTAAAGTCTAGGTTGCTGGCCGAAGTGAAGAACCTAACCCTCTTGTCTGAGCTGAAGCTGGGGGAAAGATAAAAAAAATGAAGAAAATGTTGAAAATGAACAAGTTGATAAGGCCAAGATGTTGAGGTCTAGGATAACGAGATCTGAGATAAACATGATGAGCTGGATTCTCAACCTGAAGAATAGACTAGACACTGTACTCGAGTGAGACGACTTTCTACAAGGTACCCTCATAATGAATATATCGTTGTTGCTAAAGAGGGAGAACCATGAAGTTATTATGAGGCCATGATGAG